GGGGGCCTGGAACGTGTAAGCTTGAGCCAGTGGGAGGGAGGAGGGTGGGATTGAAACGGGGGTGTGTGGTTGTGAGAGAGAGAGAGACCGGGAGACGGAGAGGGATAGGTCAAGGGTAGAGGGAAGGTGGGAGCACGAACCCACGCTAAAGGGAGCGAATGCTCTTTCGTCATGAATCAGCTCCGGACGAGAATACCAGCGCTCGGGGATGAAGTCATTGGGTTGTTCGAATGCCGCAGGCACTAAAGCAAACAAGAAAAAGTTCGTAAGCACATTCTCACTTTCACTTCCGGTAGATAAAAAGCGGCGAACTTACATCTCGAGAGTACGTATTTCGACGCCGTGACTTTGACGTCCCCTGGGATCCAAGTATCGTCCACCCACAGGCCTTCTGCGCTGGTCATGCGTCCTCCGCCGGTCATTTGGGGTGGAAGAAGACGTAAGGTCTCATTGACGACACCGTTGAGGTGGGGTAGTTTGGCGAGATTGTTGGAGTCGGTTTCGTCGACGTTGCGAAGTTCAGCGACGATTTTCTCCGCGTGTTGCGGGTGCTTGCACATGAAGTACCAGAGGGCGATTAGGGAGGCGCGGGTTGTGTCGCTGTGACGAATATTGAGTTAGTTCGGCTTTGTCATAATAGTATTTACGACTCATGGCATCCGCTTGTGCTAGGTAGAGGATACTACACGGAAACACACATACCTGCCTGCCACAATGGCGGAAATCGTGTTGCCACTCAAGAGATTTTTGCGCCTCTTTAAGCTCCACTTCGAGCTGAGCTGGTTGTACTCGTCGATGAACCACGAAGCTACGTCGAGTTTTTCGACGCTGGACTGGAAGCTTGGGTCAGCAATCTCAAGTGGCTGCTACACCACAGTCAATATACGTACCTGCATTCGTTTATTCATACGCTCATCGCAGAACTTCACCATCCCCATCCAATCCTTGACTTTACCTAGAAAGGGTACGAAGACAAAGGCCGCGCAGACCACCCAGATGGCATCGTTGAGAGGCGCCAGTAACGCAAGAGCACGTTGCTGTCGTGCAACAGCAGGGTGCCACTCGCTAGTCCGCAGCATACCAAAGTCATCGCCAAACACGAATTCACCCATTGCGTCGAAAGAGAACCACGACATGACATCATTGACTTTGACCGGGTTCTCGCCATATCCTGCAATGCACTGCGCCAGATTCAAGACCTGCTGTAATAGTCGTGGTGCGTATTCGTTAATAGCTAAGACCATCATAAGCATCCAATATGGACTTGGGATGACGTGCGACAAAGGGTCAGCTCACATTTGGTCGAGAAGGCCTGATTCCACAGCAAGCGTCGTGTTCTGTTCTCCTCTCTATCACGTACGAAGATGGCTGAGGCCCGGGGATGTAGCACGTCATACCATTGGTCCTTTGTATTTTTATTTCGTGCACCGTCGAGTAGGTCAAGTATTCCGGTATGGAAGCAGGTGATTTCATTTGGGCCTAGAAATTGTGCAAAATGAGTACATGATTTAAAACAACACTTAGGTCTTCTTTTCGAGTTGGTACATATTGCAAGAACCAGCGCGAGCACATCACTTGACTTTGTACAAGTTACACAATCACCCAAAGAAGGTCTGATGGGTTGGAAAGGTAGCTGTCTCACCTGTCCTTATGAAAGTCCCATACTTCTTGTGTAGATCTTGAAGAACCAGATAGTTGGTCGAGTTTCTAGCCTGAAAGACATGCCAAAACTTAGTGACAGCTGCAAGCTTTGGTCCTGGAAAGTGTCGCAGCCGATGAAAGAAAATCCGGTAGATCGTTATACTGGTGAAGAGAGACCCAAGGTAGGACGTGAATATCCACCCACAGAGGCGGAGATGCTCCGCCAGGTGGCCGGACTCGTGAGGTACAAAGTACCATACAGCGCAAGCGAGAGCTGCATGACCGAAGACAATGCTTGGTACGCTCAGGTGCCACTCGCCGTGGATGAACAGGCCATGATGAGCAACGAGGCCCGTTACAGCAGACGCAAGCAGCCGGAGAGCGGTATTCGAAATCGTCGTAGACATCGCATTCAAGGGTCTGTTTGACGATGAACAATGTAACCCAGGATCTGGAGAAGTGAGGTCAGGACTAAGGAGGAGACACCCCCCTTGCTCAAGACGCAGGGACTGCACTTTGCAACGAGTTTTACTACGTGACACCCTGCATCATTGTCCCTGCATTATACACGCCATGTAGCATGCATTCAGAGAGGACATGATCGGATCCAGTGTCTTCACATGTCCCGATCGACATTGTGGGCATAACTTTTGTTCATGTCGGATCCGCCATCGGCGAGGGTGGCTTCCCTGATCTGCAGTGCAACACAGCACGGATTGGTAGTTCTCAAGCCACTTGGAGGTTTTCAGCCTGGTGCAGACTACTATGGAGATTTTGCATTGTTGGAGGGTGGGCTGTCCTTAGGGGGTGCCGAGGAGAAGGTCGGTTGGTCACAAGAATAGAGCATTTCGCGTTATGTTATTTCAACAATTTGCAACTTCCGTCATATCCGGCCAACTACTACGGGGCCCCTGAAGTTATGTTGGTCTGGTCCTAGGAGCCGGGGGTTTTTATTACGGAGAGATAATATTATGATTCGTTATTGTACTACTAGTACAGGGGCATGAAGTATTGTTAGTTCAGGCCTAGTATCTTGGACTCGGAAACGTTCCTTGTACAAAACAGCTAAGCCCATATTGGATTGAAGACAAATATTTGACTCATTTGAATCATGAAGGCATCTAAATCAAGCTTTGCAATAACAAATTATGGCACTACTATATAGTAACAAGAACTAGCCGCCACTAGCATTAGCCTAGCTAGTAGCAATACTCATGGCTCCCCCTGTAGTAAAGCTTGTTCTGTGTCCCTTCATTCTAATGAGGGAAAGCATTACATCAACTTCTTTGGAGCATAGCCGTTCAGTACAGATAGGATTTAAGTTACAAGTAGATACACTAACGCTGAGCTAACATCACTCCAGGCCTCCCCCAGAGTATCTGTGGCTTGCAGTCACTTGTTATCTGTTTTCTGTATATTAGTGCTTGGTTTTATCAGGGCTAGCGTGTTTATCATCATCCAATAGAATGCTCCTGCTATCCGGGATTATGTACTGACCATCTCCAACAAAACAGGCTGTCTGGATGAGAGTAGGGCATACCGAGATAGGCTTAAGGTATGTGTGACTAATGTTGGGAACATTCTGCTGTCCATTATCGGATTTTACCGTCAAGCTCGGTCCCTAGTCACGACACAGTCCCGGCCCCAGAATAGACCCGCGCACCACTTTTACTATTTGACTGGACAAGGTAGATATGTGACGGCGTTATTAGGGTCGTTTAGAAATCTGCGATCGCGATAAACTTCTAGAAGTGTGTGATTTATGCGCATGCATCCTAGGCTAGTCTATCGATGGGCAACCTTGTCTCCGTGGTACTGTAGATAAAGTAAATTACGGATAAGATTGGATTGTTCCATGAGTATGCTCCGTACGTTGGACCGTACAAAAGGGTTTCGTGATGGGGCAGCTAAACATCCGAAGGGTTATTTTCGGATCTTTAATTTGCTAAGATGATAAGTATCCAGTGTGATGTCTATGTAAGGGGCTGATAGTGAATGACTGTCTTAAACATGAAGTCCACTATTGCTAAGGAGCTAGGTTTGCCGGGTAAGTGTGAGAAATGAGAAATTGTTAATCTTCAACTGATGTCAAACAGTATGCCAAATATCAGCAACCTCGCCCCGACTACACTTTGCAAAGCCTGCCATCCAGCTGCTGCGCCCAACGGTCACTGCCCACCGCCTGGAGCGCGTAGAACCTATCGTCAGGGTCGTACCGGGCTTTGATCTTGTTCAAGCGATCGTAATGGGAGCCATAGAACACTGGCTTCCAGTCGGGCTGCCGGAAGTCCGCTTCGTTAAGATACGCGGCTCCATTAGGAGTGAGCCGCTCAAGCTGAGGTAGCAGGTCATCTGTCATCTGCTTCTGGTAACGGATATTGGCTGGCTCATCGGTGAAGCTGTAAGGAGTGCCGAGGACGGCGCTGAAGAGCGTTTGACGCCAGTAGGGGTTAGCGCCAATGGCATCAGGCGAAGATACGCTCTTCGCTACGTTGAATGACACGCCAGAGAAAATGATGCCGGAGTCCACGATGTTTCGAAGCGCTGCCATAAACGACTCAGGGTCCTTCTCAATAAGCGAGCGAGGGATTAACCGTCCACCAAGCTGGTTCTGAGAGACATTCCAAGGGGCGTTCGTGGCATTGTAACTCTGCAAGTATGTCGGGTACTCTTGCGACATATAAGTATATGGGACCGCGTTTCCTTGAAGATTGTCGATTAGTGGTTGAAAAAGCTTGTCCAGGTCTGCTTTGGAGACCCCGGGGGCGGTCGCAGGCTCCACGAGGAAAGCCTGTGGTGTGACCAGCCAGATCACAACGGCGCCCGCATCAACCATTGACGGAAGGGACTTGACAAGCGTGCCGACCGCGTCATAGAATTCATCTGCATTATTGCCAGTGTTTGTGAAGCTGATGCTCACCGACGATACTGTCGTGGCAGGGTAGGTTTTGGCAGTGAGCGAGACCACGGCACCGTACGTCCCACCCCCTCCACCACATAGTGCCCAGTACAAATCTTGATTCTGGTCTGGCGTTGCGGTTAACAGCCTTCCCGCAGCCGTCACCACCTCCCACTCTAGGACTTGATCAGCGGCAAGACCGAATTTGGAGACGAGCGGTCCGTGGCCACCGCCTTGAGTATACCCGCCAACTATGCCCACGGTTGGGCCATTCCCACCGACCACCATGATACCTTTCGAATCAGCAAATTCGTACGCTTCTTTGACCTCGACGCCTGCACTCATTTTCATGGCCTTGCCGGTGAAGGATAGGCTACGATAGTCCTTGAGCTCTATCGATTTCATGTTATGAGTCCAGATGGAGACGGCACCCGCCCCGGTTGATTTGCCATTATAGTCATGACCTGTATTACGGATCACTAAACGAATGTTGTGTTTATTGGTGAAGGCAATCGTCTTTTGATAGTCGGAGGCATCGCTAGCCCTGACAGCATAGCTGACATAATAGCCAAGAGTGCAAGGGACGCTGGCGGGCAGAAACGGGTTGCAGGTATTGTTAGTGAAGAAAGGTGCCATGATGGAGGACGGATTCTCGAGATGGGTTTCTGGAAAAAAGTACACGTTCCTCAGTGTATCGCATCTTGCAGCGTCATAAGGTGGGAAGGCTTCATTATGACAAGGTGCCGCGATTGGAATGGTCGCTATCAGCTTTCCTCCTAAGGTACGATTGAATGCATCCCATGCATTTGGCTCAGGCCAGCAGGCATCGCCAGGAAAACAGCGACATGAGGACTTCTTGGCTCGTTCGGCCTGGCGAGGCAGGGCTTGTGGTGAAGACGCATAGTCGAGCGTCAGGGTGCGCACAGGGCCGAAGAAGATGAAAGAGGCCAAGAGGGCCAGGAGAAGAACCAGACAGCGATCCATCGGCGATGGCTGATACGAAGGAGGTGAAGGGTGCTAAGGGAAAGAGACGAGGCTCCCACGTGGAGAGCAGGGCAGCTTTAACTTGAGAACGATGTTGTCCGCATTGAACGCCACCCATCATGTTGGTAAAGGCCCCAAAGATGAACTAAACAGTTTCTGAGCCACCAGTAAGCGAGATTCTGCACATATTCTGATCGTCAATCAGGCGGCAAAGAAAGGAAGTATAATTACTTCATAAATCCAGCGATGAATACTTATGCCATTATGGGGGCTACTACTGGGCCATTATTGGGGGAGTTTCTTCCTACCAGAGCACGTTACTACTACTACTACTACGTAATCCACTAGGTGTTGCACCTAACTCAAGAGGGACGTAGGCCACTAATCAAATAGCCGCTGTGCCTAGTTGAATGCGAGGATGGAGTCCTGCTACTACATAGTACATATATATTCGAGCCCCAAAAGGGCATTCTAGATTCAATCATCTAAATCTAATTTGGTAATTAGAGCAGGCATCTTGGTGGGAGATGAGATTTACTCCAAAGATTTAGAACTCATTGTAGGACAAACAAAAGAAAGTCAACAGCATTAGATGAATATCACTACAATGCATAAGGGATACGGGTTCCCGTTTTGAGTATTCTTTGGAGATTTCTCCGTTGACATATTGGGGCTTCAAGATATGAGGCCGAGACTTTAAACCCAGATGGCAAAGCACGCCCTTTCAACGGCTTGAGTAGTAACTTCAGTGTTCCGTTCAGTGTGCCGTTCAGCGTGCAGCCATGCAGCATTCAGCATTCAGCATTCAGCGGGGTCATCAGTCCACGAGTCTGGGCACCAGACTGTGCGTAATTTACACTTTACTAACGGTAGCTGTGAGCAGCTAGTAGATGGTATCTGTGTCTTATTTAGTGCGCAGCTTAAGGCTTATGCTAGTATAATGCCTGTGTAGAAAGCTGCATGCTTCGGTCCGGTTGCACAGGACCGGACACGCATCCGGAGCTCTTGAGATAAGGAGTACTCGTACACACTCCACTGTGTAGCACCACTACTGTGTGGCATCAACTCGTGGATGGCAGGACCTCTATTTCCTACTCGTACTGTGGTCGCTAGCTCATTCAGATGCCAGCGCTAACTCGAGACTACGCTAAAGCATCATTTAAGTGGTAGTACGTAGTAAGTTAGTCAATTGTGGTTGACCCATGTCCGTAACCATCTCAAGCTAGGGAACACCTCCCCACATCACAAATTTCCGATATTTAGTCCTCCACAGTGCAGTTAGTACCTGCCTAAAGTACTCTTAATTGGCTTCGGCAGATTGGATGTGGCTGCCATAGAGGTCGATAGCATGCAGGTCGCTCGTACCGACCGTGCCGTCCTATGCTAGAGCTAACGTCATTGCGTTATGAGGGTCAAAAGCCAATTGTTCTGATGGCTGACCCACTTTGGCGCAACTCATTGGTGAGACGCAGAAGCCACAGATCATTGGCCATTGGCAATGCAAGTCATTCAACCGCCAGTTTCGAGTTTGTATCTGGACAGCGGTTTGCAAGGAGCTCTAACATGGGAAAAGAAAGCGAGGAACCGAAGCCGGCCGGAAGTCTGTGCTCATAACTGGAAGCTCATTTCCCTCCGTCAACGCATCTGTACACTACCTCGAATTCTACCATCATGATTAGCGAACGGGGAAAAGCGCTGACAATCTGGATCATCGTCTTCACTGTCCTCACTTTCACCACCCTCCTTCTACGACTTTGGGCTGTGCGCATACAGAAGAGAGATGTGCGCTTGGATGACTTCTTCGTTATCGGCGCATTCGTATGTGGAATACCTCTTCTGTACCTAGACTACTGAAGACAATATTTAACACCGTCTTAGATCTCCCTTCTCGCCTTGCTAGGCACGACCTTTTGGGGTATGTTCTTCGACGCTGAGATCAGTTCCAATCATGGCTAACATCGCCAACAGCCATCGCCAATGGCCTAGGCGCACACACGGACACAGTGAGCGTTGCTCAACAGACGGTGCAGAAAAAGGTAAGCTCCGCCGCTCTTCGACCCCACGCCGTACTTCGACTCATGCCGTGCAACCGCAGCTCCTTCTGTCATCGGGTATTACCTGGACATTGGCCACCATTCTGTGCAAGCTAGCAATCCTATGGCTCTACACGCAGATCTTCACGACCAGAAAATTCAAGCTCGCGGCTTACATCCTAATGGGTGTGACCGTGTCATACGCCTTCATCTTCATACCAATTTTCTTTACGCAATGCAAACCCGTACATGCCGCATGGGATCCAGTGCTTTCGTTGACAAGCTGCCGACCCATCACGCGGCAGGAGTTTGCATCTGTGGCTATCAATATGGCTTTGGACTTGGCCGTGGTGATCCTGCCACTCCCCGTTGTGTGGAGCCTGCGCATGCCAACGAGAAAGAAGATTGCTGTGAGCCTGATGTTTAGTCTTGGTCTGGTGTACGTGCTCATCCGCATCAACTTTCCGAAATCACCATAGCTCACTAACTGTGCTCTAGCATTGTGGCCATCATGACCTGGCGCATTCACTCCACGGTGCGCGCGACCAAAGAAAAGGACTGGAACTATGGACTGTATATTACTGCGCTCCAAAGTCTTTTAGAGCTGTGGCTCGGCATTATCGCCGCTAATCTTCCAACCCTCGCGCCGTTGACCTCCCAGCTCATTATGCCCAAGATCATGAGCTACTTCCGTTCAGGCAATTCCAAGGAGCCTTCGTCGGGTCGTCGGCTTGTGTACGGCATGCGGGGTGGGGAAGACTCAGCCCTGAAACGAGAAAAATTCCAAATGCTCGTCAATGAAGATGCTCGTGTGGAGGTAAACGAGACTCGACACTTGAACAAAATCGAAGCTGGCGCGTCGAGCCGGTCTATCAGCATGGATGACCATTCCTGGGTTGATGTCGAAGCCAATGGCATAGGGATGCGACGCGATGTGGATGTCTCTTTTGAGACGTTCCATGAACCACCAAAGAAGGCACATATATTTGGTCGGTGATGATGCATCCTATAAAGGTTGACGAGAACATAAGAAGGTTTGCACCACCATGATGCATTAGGGTGTGGTTGGTCTAATACTGACGCGTGTTATGTGCTGGATTTTGAGGATTCGGTCGAAAATGATCTATATTTAACGTCTATTTATGACTACGGCTTATTGATTTTACGAGAAACAGGATGATGTAGGTTGTCAATTCATGTCAATTGCCTGTCTACCATGTTGCGTGAGCTCTATGTCATATGTTACACGGTGGCAATCGGCCCCTTTGATCTGGAGCGGGATCCAATTCGACCAGGAAATGCTCCGTGTGACAGCCTGTAACGTACTACGGGAGGAGGCATAAGTACTGTTAGCTTCAAGCTAGAAACTCAGTATTTCACACAGCCTTAACGAATTTGTACTTTACTGAAACGACGTTAGTCTGTATGGTTCTGCGAACAGAGCCAATCATCATGATTATTGGTTAGTGAGGGGTCGAGATTTACAGCAGCTTGGGAGGACGCCAGACCCTTGTATCAAAAGCTACGTAATAGCTATCACTAGCTCACGCTAACAATTCTTATGCCTCCTACCCCGCACGGTAGTCGTACAAGAGATGACCACACTACGGAGTTCTTATATCTTATCTGTGCATGCTGCCTCAATTAGCGTGCTAAGCGCACTTTAAGCCCAAATAAAGTTATTCTGAAACTCAAGTATTCATCAACGATACTTTTCTAACTATCGGTCAAAAAGATCCAAGGATAGTATGGTACACTCTTTACATTCCATAGATTATTTCTTTCATACGGAAAATCTGCTTGACCAATACAGCGGCCGTTATTACAATTCCAAATCTTTGCAGTCCACAGCACTGATTGAGGGTTTCTCCCTCTCCGCCTATGCACAGATGGGTAACAGTGATAATACCTCGATGGAGGGATTGCTCTGCTCTATGCTGCGGAGACACGATGGATACCCCGGATTAAAATAATAGGCGTCTCACAGTGAAACAATCAGTGGCCGGGATATGCTGCATTGGCCATCCTCCACCACTGTCACATGTGGAACGGTACTGTAAGGCAAAACAACGGAGAGAAGCGAGGCCAACCAATCCTTGAATATTAATAAGCTTACAGCAGTTTCAGTACCTTCGGTCCTTCAGCCTTCTCTTAGAGGCAACATGATATTCTGCCTCTATTAATGATCCAGCTCGGCCCTGCTCCTCGCCTTTTTCTCTTCCAAGCTTCTAAGAGGTGAACTCAAAAATTAAACATCACGCCGAGCGTCAGTGCCTGTTGTTTACGCCCGATCCAGCTCTTTCAAGCACCAGAACTCCCCGACCCTACATTCTCAAAGCACATTCTCCCTCGTCTTTTCCGAAGGATCAACCTGTCAAAATGAAGCCAGTATTCCCATCGCCTACAAAGACTTGGCACAACGATGTCTATCCTGCTATCGACCCTACTCTACCTAAAAACAGCCACGCAGGTCAAACGGTTATTATCACCGGCGCAGTAAGCCTAGTCATCATTTTATTCAGGTCCAATTGAGGTTAGTTGCTGAGATCTAACGATTTGGATGTTGCGAACAGGGCAGTGGTATCGGCCGTGAAACAGCGGTTGCATTTGCCGCTGCGGGAACAAAGCACCTTGTGCTCATAGGCCGTTCTGAATCGACACTCGCCGACACGGAAAGTCTTCTTCCAGGGAACCCCAAATGCTCAATCTTCCAGGCCGACATCACCGATGAGGCCGCGATGGAGAAAGTCGCAAAGACCGTCGGCAACTGGGATGTGTTGATCCTCAACGCAGGATACATCTCGACTCCGTCGCCTGTAGCTAACGCCCGTCTGGACGACTACTGGAAGAACTATGAGGTTGGCCCCCGTACAAGCACTGATCCATTCAGGGCGAAGTCGCTGACCGCTTTCAGACGAATGTCAAGTCAATCATCATCGCCGCAAAAGCGTTCTTTCCTACGGCCAATGCCAAACGCGCTGTGGTACTGGGCAACACTGCTGGTGCAATTGCCCTGCCAACGAAACAGGTTGTTGGACTGTCGGGATACCTAACCTCGAAACTAGCACAGATCAAAACGCTGGAATTCTTGGCGGCTGAGAACCCAAAGATGTTTGCATGCAGCGTCCATCCAGGCATGATAGAGACCGACATCTTCTTGAAGTCGGGCGCTACCCCGGACATGTTGCCCATGGATACAGGTGAGTGGAGCGGGTGCTCGGCAGCCGAACAGGCATGAATGAAATTGCTGACTGTGCTTCTTCTAGTCCAGCTCCCGGCTCATTTCATGGTGTGGCTGTCGACACCCCATGCGCAATTCTTGAACGGAAAGTTCGTCTGGGCCAACTGGGATGTTGAGGAACTCCAGTCTCAGGCGAAAGAGATCGAGTCCAGCGACAAAATGAGTGTAACTTTCCAGGGCTGGCCATTTGCGAACATGGGATGATAGCCTGATTGAGCAGCATAGACTAGGTTAAAGCGACGAGGCATTGTAAGTAAATGAGCACAGACCGGGCGAACATGATGGAACACATGAGTCCGATGGAAACGGTTGGAAACACTCCAGCCAACAGAGCCACATAGCCAGGATTGAACAGCATGATTTGTAGCTAGCTATTAGCTTCACTGCGGGAGCATGAAAAGATGTATGTCCATGCGGGAGTTGACATCCTCACTGGCCTGTACTGTATTTTTGCATCAAAGAGGATTTACTCTAAACACCCTAGAGAAGCCATACAGATGTGATACTACCGTCTCTTGATGCCTAGCCCATAAGTGAATGGCTAAGACCTTGGTGCAAGCTCTTACTTGGGTTAAGTATTTAGTACTTGGTATTTACTAGGTGCCCGGTGCATGAGATCTCATACTCGAGGAGTTAGATTTGGTTCTTTGAATCTCAATTCCACTTAGGACTTCATACACTCTCTCACGAAGAATACTAGTGCATAGTCGACAGTTAAAAATCAGATATCAAGTCAGAATATGAACACAGGATTTGTGTGATGGCACACCGTGTCTGACAGTTGACGGTTGACAAAACAATCGTCCGATATCTGGAATGCTCCGATGGCACCGGCTACGTCTCAGCTGCGCCCCTCGATCAGGACCCAGATCTTACTGGCACGTTCGGCAAGGATAAGAACATCTGCAAAACGAGTCATGACTTTACCTCCGATTGTGCTACCACACATGTTTCATCAGGTATAAACGGGGGGAGAGAGGCCCTTTCCGCCGCCACCTTACCGAACCCCCCAATAGGCCGGGTCTCCACCACTTCTACCTGTCCTTTTCCATGTACTAGACGAAGTCTTTCTCCGTCTAACTTAGCGCGTGGTAAGAGGTTGGAGAAGGTCTTGTCAAGTATCGCATCGTTCAGACATTCCTGTTGCACAATATGTTTTATGAACGCCTGCAGTCTGATATATCTAGAGACCTCGCTATATCGTGTTGCTGAAGAGTGATCAATATTAAGATTTGGCAGAACAGAAAAAAGATCACTAAGAATACCCTCTTCTTTCTCAGAACCTCTCTTCCCTTTGATGATGGGTGATGACTATGCAAAGGAAAGGGCGAGCTTGAGAGCCCAGGCCAGACGTCGAGAAGAAGAAGCTGCCCGGCAATTTCTAGATGAAGACATCTTCAGCATCCGTCTGGAGAGTCGCCAATCACCAAGACCAGTACCGCAACAACAGTCCCCACACTTTGAACCCATACCACGAATCTCTCAACTCCGGCTAGACGCAGCTTCTCCTTCTTCTCGACAGGCACAGCTGGCTGGCTCCTCTGCAAGTTCGTTGCAGAGTGGCAGTCCGCTCCCCGGCCAGAGACACGCATCCGCCACCTTTTCTCCAGGCTCTTCCTATGATGACAGTCCTTCTTTCCAGCGCGGACGACCCACCGGCTCTTCGGTGGGTGTCAGCCCATCTTATTCCCGGCAGGGACAACTGGCTGGAGCCTCTTCAGATTCTTCTCCGGAAGAAGGAGGATGGACCAGCCCATCATCTTGGCTCACCAGTCTCATCCCGGGTGGGCAGCAAGTCACAGACCACTTTTGGTCTCATCACGTCCCAGATTGCCACTGCTTCCGCTGCCGTCCAGCATATTACACTCCCACGGGTGACTATATCATGAAACCTATTGTCGAATATTTCCGAGGTCCATGTCCCATGGGCTGTACGTGCCCGTACTGCCTAGAGCAAAGATCCAGATGGAAAGCGCAAAACAAGTGTCGAAACGATGGTCACAAGTTAGAGAGGCCCCTGCAGTGCAAGTCACGCTTCTGTGCGTGCAAGATCGGATGTCAGGAATATTCATGCATCAAATGCGAGCCCAGAGCGCCTGAGAATCCGATCCTTCGACATCTGGTGGCAACGCAATCTCCTGCTGCAAGCCAAGCATCTGGTGATCGTAGTGATGCTTCTCCGAGTGGGACTCCGAAAAGCCGGGCAAGCAGAAACTCAGCTACTGCGGATCAGGATCAGAGTGTCGTCAGCCGCGGTGATGCCTTGCAAAGTCGCCTGTCGACTGACAAAATACGACGGCGCAAGAAGTAAGCTGGGCAGGAGAGTGAAGGTACAATGTAATGCTTCCTGTTGTGGAAGCCAGAGCAAGTAAGCTGGAATGAGGATCTTCATCATCACTGTTGTTTATACTTACAGCATGTCAAAGAGGAGACTTGACGACAATATCATTATGCAAAGTCCTTTTACATCGTCTTTCTTGCCCTACTGCAGTTTCCTGCCAACATTGCAGCGATTGCCCCGTCTATCAGATCCACATCCTGTTACCAAAATGCAGATATGAAAAACCTACTCGTACCTTCGCGTGCGCATCTTGCTTGCAAGATATACTCCGTACTTACCCAGAACTAACCTAGTACATCCCCTTCCACATGCCTGCCCATTACGCACCATCCGAAGCTTGAAATGCAAATCCAGCCGTGATTCCCAGTAACGAGGCAAACAGGTTACTTATCACAGCACCCAACGCAGCCGAATCAATCCTATCCATTTGATCAGACACGTACACACCTTGAAACGCCTGGCAGACAGGCAAGCAGACGCCTGGCAGACACTATAGCATCAAAGGGCCAGCCCCAATCAACCGCGCTCCATAAGAGCAATCAGTCGAGTCATGGATGAACGCTGTTCTCTTTTGGTATTCTGCACCGAATCTTGACCGCGCCTTGGCACCCAATTGGGTTGGCCATTTTACTGTCTGCCTCAGGAATTAGTCACCCGGCTCAACTTCGGCTCAGCCTCTGCTCAGGCCGCATTACCACCGCTCCTGCTGCTTACCACCTTCTGTCCTAATGCTACTTAGGGGGACTTAGTCTGACATTGGAGGTGAGCTATGCATTTCAAACGTCCCCAGGTTCTCCCTCAAACCGACCATTCAGATATGGAAAGCGGAGGGCTAGAAAATAACTGCGAGATAACAGATGCAGGACTGTCGATTCTGTAGTATCGGCTCAGGGTCAGGTATTCTCAGGAACAAGGATGCAGCACAGGCGTGATGTAATATTAGGTCCTTGTTTTCTAGGATGTGTTAGCCTGGCAAAATAAACTGTCTTCCAAATCTTCAACCTTGGATGCTACCCGTGGTCCTTGTTGAGAGGAGGTTTCTTATAAGGGGCCACTCTCGTTACTTATGGGCCGCGTTAAGGGTGGCTCCCAGGGTTACTCCGGGGGGGTTCTTTCTCTAAAAGCCGCACGGGGGCTGAGCTTAAAGTGAGCTCCGTGCAAAAGTTCCCCAACTTGACCAGGCAACGATGAGGGTTTCAGGTCAATGAGATCCACACAGGACAAAAACGTGGTATTTGATCGCTTTATGGCGCCTAAACGTAGCGTTTCAGACCTCAGCCTACTCTCCACCTCACACAGCAACGTCCAATCATACTGTATTAGAAGGTATCCAGGCCCGCTGAACTGTGCACCCGCCACATCCCTTGGTCGGATAGCCTCACAGTTCACCAGCATTCAGCTTGACCTCAAATGACGGACCACCTGCACTCAAATTTAACCCTGCGATATCTCTCGTCTCCATGAGCAGTCCTGTTCCCTTTCACGCTGCAAGAAATGCTATCATGGCTGCAGCGACATCAAGTCGTAAGCGTGACCGGTTTCGGCAATTTTTCTCGACTCTCTGCACCCAGTGCACTAAGCTCAAACTCACTGCCGCAAACTTCTATTTATCTGACCGTAATTCTGCCTTGCGGCACCAGCAATTCGAGGGTTGCGCCAAGGATTTGCAAGAGTTTCGCAACGCACAATATTGCCCTTCCGAGCATGTGAAACACTGAAAACTGCGAACCCGGGGGCCATATTATGGGAACCTGCACATGCTCCGGGCTGAGCTCACGCCACTCAGGCGCCTCAAGGCTCGCCAAGCTGTGCTCATGATTGCACCGCGCTCTCAACTATATGCTGGCTGGACAGCGGACTCCTCCACCAACGGAAATCAGTCACATAGACTCGGATATCAAAGTTCTAGTGGCCATGGCATGCGTGCCAAGCAGACGTAGAGGGCGGAACAACACGATTCAGCTCGAAGAAGGCGACGAATTGAACGTAAGCTCATCTACTTAGCAGGAAGAAGCCCACTGTAAAAAAATGATAAGAGAGCCGCTAAAGTGCGCTTAGAGTTAGCCTAACCGTAAGATTGCTTAGAGTGCACCAGGATATATAGCTAAGGCATCTGTAATCTAATAAGATATCATTATTCACAACATTATGTGTCAAAATTATGGTCTTACTATGGTCAAAATATGCCTTTCTGATCATACTAATATGGTCTTTATTCGACAGAATAGTTGCCATTCCCACTAACGGCACTTAGCCCACATTTTTTATTACCCCTTCTCCTAGTAAGTAGTAAAGTACAAGGCGTTGGGGAAGCTGAACCTCGAACACGAAATGGCGGGGGAAGAGCTGAGAAGATCGCACATTAAATAAACATCTTGTGCTCCAGCGTCATGCCTTCCCCAGGTTCGACAACTCACTTTTCAGCCGTGCCACACTGACCCTCCATCATGAGCAAAGAGCAAGGCTTCAGTCGTAGAGCCATCTACCTTTCCCCTCTTTCAACCAGCGCCGATGGCGTGTGTGCTCTGCGATGCTACTTGAAGCATTATGGCTACCTTCCCCAGAAGCACGATACTTCAAAGGACACCTTTGACAAGGATTTGGAAGAGGGGTTGAGGAAGTTCCAACGTTACTATGGCCTCCAAACCTCAGGCAAACTTGACGGCCCCACAAAGGGACTGCTCACTCGAGGTCGCTGTGGCGCTCCAGATGCCACCCCTAAATCTTCGCTGGAGGCAAATATCGCCATTCCCTGGGGCACAAAGACACTGACCTATCACCTGGGCACCCCAAGCGCTGATCTCCCGAAAATAGACTGCTGGGCTGCCATCGAACGAGCTCTCACCACCTGGGAAAACGCCGGCGTTGGGCTGAAGTTCAAAGAGGTCAACGACGTGGCTAAAGCAAATATCGCCATCCACTGGGGACCGGCGGAAGATGCCGACCACAGCATGGTCGGAAACGTTCTCGCTCACGCCGACTTCCCTCCCGGAGAATCCATTTTGCGTCATCCGCGGGATCAACTACCCCTTCACTTTGACGACAGTGAACATGTTTGGGTGAATGGAACACAATTTAATGCTTTCGACATCGAGACAGTGGCGTTGCACGAAATTGGGCATTGTCTGGGACTGTTTCATTCGAATGTACGAGGCGCTGTGATGTTCGCATTTGTGGATGATAATTTCATGTTGAGGAGAGTGCAGCAGGATGATATCCTGGGGATTCAGCAGTTGTATGGTCATGGATGGCAGGAGGTAGACGGAGCGGGGACGCAGACTGCAATGGTTATGAGCGATTTGATTGATTCTAGAGTGGATGGAGGAGGAGAAGCGGCTGAGCAGCAGCAAGAGCTAATCCAAGAGTGATGCGGAGGTCAGGTATAGGCTCGGTCTTCAGAAGAAAGGGCGGAGAAGGATAGTCAAATGCTGATAGTCTGTATTAGGAAATATTGGTGTTTGCAGTACTCTCAAAAGTCCAATTGTTGTCTGTGTCACGAATGACAACTCATACATATATTAGAACGCCTGAGTCATGCGTGCAATTCGCATGATTCTCTGTCTTTTGGAGATGTAGGTGTTATGAACCGCTCCGCTGAGGTGCAAGTCCAAGAGGGGCTTCTGTCGCAGTAAGTATTATAGTAGTGGACTAGATTGGAGAGAGTAGACTACAGTCACGTGTGCTTAGGTCTCGAAGGGGAAATGAAATTAGGGGAGGTCAAGATTCGGGTGTGGATGTTGTGGCAACTGGCTGGACGCGCTGTGCAAAGAAGATAGGACCAGAAAATGGATGGCACAGTCTAATACATACATACATACATACATACATACATACATACATACATACATAGATGCCCCCCACTCCTATGCTACTCATCTGCACACCGCAACCCTCCTCCACGGCTCTACTTTGGTCAACCTGCAATGTGGAAAAGGACACATCCACCACTGTGAATCCCCAATCATGATAATTCAAGAGAGCTGTAGTTGGTTACACCATCTTTCTCTCCCAGTCTCCCCTTCCTTTTGGTTTCTCCTCTAACCAGCATCTCGTTTTTGCTATTTACCCACTCTCCTCGACTGGTGCTGTTCGTTCCCTCCTCTAGCCTAACCTCTTTGCGCCGTACTTCAGGCGGGGTCATCGAAAACCAAACGCATTGACTTGGCTTGCCTCAGCTCGGTCTCCTCACAAGGGTGGAAGGATGGAAGGAAGGAAAATATGGAGAGCTGCTCGTGCCCAGTCGAGGTCGAGATCGATGGGTGATTCAGATGGAAGGTGGAAGATGGAAGCGACATGGCTGTGTGTATGCGTATGTGTATGTGTACATGCATGTGCGAACAGCTAAATCAGTCAGTTAGTTAGTCGGTCGGTCAGTCGGTCGGTCAGTCGGTCGGTCAGTCGGTCGGTCAGTCGGTCAGGGGGCCTGCTGCTGCTGCTGCTGCTGCTGCGGTGCGAAGGTAGGTAGGTAGGTTGGGAAGGGGTTTGCATGAGCCCTAGCTACATAGCCTCGGCCACGGCCATGAATGGGGAGTTGGGGGTTAGGATAAAACGTGGACGAACTGGTTGCGGTGGTTTCGTTGCAAGGAGGGATCATGAAATACCGGATTTTTTGGTGCAAAGGGGGGCGTGCGCCTTTCTTGAGGGCTGGCTTATGATATGATTTTGTGTCCCTGCTGCAGCCCAGCCTGGAGTTATGCCAATGCAACAGCTTCGGTGATTGTAAAGCTAGCTCGCTCGCTCCCAGAGCGCCAACGAATGCATCAACCCCCTGGTCTTTCCCTTGATGGTCAATTACCCAGCCCAGCGCCTGTGCCTCTCAGCAAAGCTGCACCCAACACCGCAGCACGGTAAATCTCAGACCCCCGCCTTTCCATCATCCATCATCTCCGCTATCCACCCCTCCCCTTCTCATCTATCAGAACAAAAGCCCACCCAGCATCATCCCGCCCAACACCCCCCCTGCCAAGGGCATCCCCATCCCACCACCATAGCCATATCCATACGGCCTTCCATACGCATAATTCGGCCTCGGATACGCCACGAACCGATTATTCGGATTCGCATACGGTCCCTGCGTGTAGGGATTATACGCCTGATAACTGCCGCCTCCGTAGCCACTGCCGGGATAGATCAGGTTTCCATACGGATCCGTCCTAGGCGGCTCTACACGCATGGGCATGCGAGAAAGGCACACCAGAAGATGACTAGGACGATACAGCTCGTACTCTTCGAAATGATGACCAGGGTGTATGGGGATTCGACGGGCAGGATGATATGGGAATGGGTGTCTTCGAGCGTTTCATCTTGCGGCCGAGTTTGCCGAGCCCGCCGGTGGATTCATGGGTTTGCGGTTGAGGTCGGGGAGGGAGGTCTGGTGGTGTCGAGGAGTTTGCTTGTGGTGATTGGTGTGATTGTTGATGTGATCCTTTGTGAGTAGACCCCGCATCGGACTCATCGGCGCTACTTTCGGCTGCAATATCGGCGTGGTTTGGGGCCATAGCTGTTGCTTGGATTCGTTCTCTTTCTTCGGACGTTAGGGTGGAGAGGTATTGTTCGTCGTCGTAGGGATGGTGCCATATTGACCGTGGGGGGTTAGCATTCGTATCGACGAAAAATTGGTGACCCTCTTTGGCATCGTACTGGCGAACCCAACCTGGGGGTAATGGTCGAGCTTCGTCTTCCATGCTGCGGCGATGGAGGGCTGGGATGCCATTTCTCGGTACGTCGAGGTGGGAGGAGTGGGAGTAGTGGGTAGGCCTGCTGCTAGTTTCTGGTTTCTTTGTGTTTGCAGCATCCTCGTAGGCCGGTGGAGGAGCGTCCGACATGGGTGGGATGTTGTGCTGTAGAGATGGAAGGATTGACGGTGAATTGGAGTGGTAGATAGCGCACTTGACTTTTAGTTCTCAGTGTGCACGTAGGATTAGCGTTCCAGAGGGGACGAGGTCTTCAAGGGAAATAATGATACGGATACGGATACGGAGGAATATGAGGAATATGTGCAAGAATAGAAGGGAGTGCTGGAGGTAACTTATGACGAAAGAATGCGTCATCAAGTCTTAGAGCGCGTTAATGCGTTAACGCGTTGGCGCGTTGCAGTTGTGCCAAGTCTCATCATCCTTGGCGATTGTCTTGAAGTTCAGTTGCTAGCTAGCTAGTTGCTCGGAGAATCGGAGAATTGAGCTGCTTCTGTTGCAAGAGTTGGGGAATGACTGGTCCCGATAATGACTGGCAAAGTCATAATGGTTGTGACAGTCCTCTGCTCCAAACCGGCCGTCCATCTATATCCATCTATATCTATCTATATACATTCTTGCCCCATTATCCATATTATGTGCAATAGCGGTAATGTCTATGTCGTCAGAGTAACGCCTCATATTGCCCTCAAAAAGGTATCATCTTGGAAGAGCAAACCTCCCCTGCTGGCCCAAAAACCCATAGTACGAGAACTCCCGTGGCAATAGGTTTCTGCACACCCAATGCTCACCAGGTGAACAGCATCAATCCAGGATTCAAAACGATAGGCAACAAAAAGTGACTGGCAACGATAGTAACCAACGGCCAAATGGCAGTAAAGGCGTTGATGTGCCAATGATACGGCACCAACTTGCCAACAGGTCCAACACCACCCAAAACGATCATAGCGGTGATCATGAATATGCACCAAATGAAGGTGACCTTGAACTTCTTCAAAATGCGAGGGACTTCTTCAAAGAATGACGTGTCGCTTGCCTCCTTCGCGGTAGCACCCCAGGACATGTCAATGCTGAACATGTGCGAGAGGAGTGCCTGGGAGACATGAAGCGAGATACCACCTAGAAAAACCGTCAAGAGAGGTACCCATTTCAGGTTTTCGAAAACTGACACAAATATTAGCGAACTGGATAATGCAGAAGACGGATTCATGTTAACTTACGGGAGCCGAACAAACTCCTCTCTTCAATTCTGTATCGAAGGACGGCAAGAGCAAAATTGCCGAGAGCGCTGAAGACGAGAACGATAGAGAAATAGATCTTGAAGCTGTCGATATAGTAGAGATCAAGCCATCCGTTGTACCATCCAACCAGGAGGTAATTCGCCACGGTGAGTATCCAGGCACTGCCAATGGCATAGTAGGTACCGATATACGCCATGATCGTAAGTTTCGAAGGCAGAGGCATGTTGCTGCACATGAACCGTCGGAATAAAGGTGTAAAAGGTCCTCGGAATATCCAGTATCGCATGGGATGGAAGATCAGCTCGTTGCATCCGTAGGCATATTTCTCCCATCGAGCAAGCTCATCGTAAACAGTCAGCGACACACCTTCTTTGAATCCCTGACCAGCGTAAGCGGCAAGACGCAGGACATATCCAGTGGTTTGCAGTCGAAGAGCCATATCGAAGTCTTCAGAGACGGTGGCTTCAGACCAATATTTCTCCGTGACACCGTCGTCTCCAAGATATGCAATGTCTTGTACGGCAGACCAGCGGAGGAAAGCATTGTGACCAACGAATGGGGCAACGTCACCATTAGCCACCGCGAACTGAATTGCGGTATAGATCAGGTTGGTGAAAAATGTGATGCCTCTTTCGAAAAAGGTATCGGTGACGTTCATCACGCCAGAAGAGAATTGGATGATGGCCACCTGTGGTGATGCCTCCATCTCGCTCACAGCGTCTAGGAAGCAGTCGCTGGGGACACGGGTGTCAGAGTCGATAAGCAGGATATAGTCGCCGATCCGAACATTTCCTTCCGCCCAGGTGCGGCCTTCATCCTCCTCGATGACCTGCGAGAGTGCGTTGTCGTAGAGATCTCGCTCCTGTTGTTGCGACCAAACGCCTTCGCGTTGGAAGACGGCGAGCTTGTCTTCTACCCGAGCGCTCACATAAAGAGCATAATTCATGTTCGAAGCTTTCTTGAATTTGCCCGGTCGGATGAACGCCTTCTCTCCGTCGGCTGGCTTGGGGTTGTGCTTTGGACGAGCAACCCAGCCGATATTGTGCTCTTCGTAGTATTCCCGCCGTTGCTGAGCGTCTTCTGGCGAGATCAACTGCATACCATCATCGTTGATGAATATGTTGGCCGAGCCACCCTGCATTTCGTAGGTAGAGATTGCTTCCTTGATCGATTTCACGGTTGGATCAATCACAGACCAGAGACCCTCCTTATACACCGGACACTGGATCGTGACATGGGGTAGCGTTTCATGGTGTATACGTGGCGGAGCTGTTCCGGAGAAGAACTTGGTGTTATCGGTCATTTGACTGATGGGACCTATGATCTGCGCGACACAGCCAGCGAGGGATTGCATGAAGAACTGTTATCATAGTCAGCTTCGGCAGCAAACGTGTCGTCTGGCAAACATACCAGAGCGAGCCAGATTTGGAGTGGAACAACGACCACAAAAGCTAGCCTTAACCACCCCTTGTCCACTGTCACTTCAAGAGCAATCTGCCTCCATCCAGCTCCAAGCGCTGCAATGACCAGAATGAGCGTGATTGCTGTCAGTACTGGCTGGATGAGCACAATCTTTCGAGGTGCCTCGGCCAGACCTTCTTCGATGTGGCCGTCTTGTGATCCGTAGACTTCGTCAATGTAAACACTGGGCGCACGGCTTCCCATCTTGCTCGGAGCTTTGCTCGGGACCTTGCTTGTTACCGCGGTACTACCCTTTTCATGCTCCTCGTCGTCCTCCCATATCATCTTCATGAGCTGGTCTTCTACGTTTTGGGCTCGAGATAGAAGATGATTTGGGTCATCATCCCACACGACCAACATTGAAGGTTCTTGGATGAAGGCTGCAAAGTGATGTTTTTGGCATTCCGGAAGGTAGTTAACGTTCGGCAAAACTTGGATCCGGAGACCATTGTCAAGGGGAACGTAGTGCATGTCGGTACTGCGAAGGAAAAGCTTGATGACCTGTGTATTGATGGTCAAAGCACACTGTAACCATCAGCTTTGGTTTCCTCCAACACGAATGGCTCGGTACACACCTTCACATTAAGCTTTTTGATAGAATCATAGAAGCCATTCCTGTGCTGCACTAGTTCTGTCGGGCAGGAGATATAGTCGTCTCTTGCCTTCTTCATGATCACTCCCTCATCCCACCCTCCCTGCGTCCACATCCTCTCCCGTTGCTGGTGATAAAGCCAATTCGACATAACATCAGCTTTCATGTCTGCCAGTTGCGGTGAGGTGCTATTTCTGAAGTCACCGCCAGGATACGCTGGCCGCGCTGGAGACCTGACAACCTGCGAGGTGTTTGATGATGGGATGCTGCTGAGCTCAACATTATTTGGAGCCGCAGCGACAGGTGACTGCTTCGAGCCAAACTTCATCGAAGATAGAGATGGAAACCCAGAGGGCTTTGACCGTGCTGGTGCCGTGACAGCGGCAGCTGGTTTCTGGGGAGGTGCATCTGTGCCGGCCGGATGAAAGTAGTTCTTGATGCCCATTTTTGGCCAATATGGGTCAGTAATGTGTGAGAAAAGAGAGTTCTATCAACACACGGAGCCTGTCCTCGAGGCCGCAGTAGGGTACTCGAGGGTGAATCAACGAAAGACTGGGAGCACGAAAACGAGTGACAAGGCAGTGTGCTGATGAAAAAGGAAAATAGATAAAGCAATTCGAAGACAATCCACTTATCAATCCCACGTATCTCAAATGTGAATGGGACCTGAAGCAGATTAACTGCCAGGGGTACCGGATTGGGCAAGCGTGTACGGAGTGAGTCCAGTCCAGGCGGCGGCTGCGTTGCCACAAAACGGTAGATCAGCCCACCCAACAGCTAGCTCGTGACCTTTTCTGGTAATCATCTTCAAGATCCTCCTTGGTAGCATCTAAGTGATCAGAGTCAAATGGCATGGTAAGTTTGCTAGGCTGCTAGCTAGCTGCAGCGATCCCATATATGAAAGACCCAAATGGAACAACGTCAGCAACGCCACTTTGCGGAAGTATAGTATAACGCTTGTTAGCCTGGATCTGGACTCGCTGGGACAGGAACTGATCATAGTGGTTATGTCACATACAACTATGGGATGAGGGTTCAAGCTTTCCCAAAACGCCTGGGTTCTGTAGATACGTTCAACGACATTAGCAAAGACAGCCAGATGAACGAGCACTGCCATTTGGTAGGGTCAAATTCAGGGCGCTTGAGTATCGAGCGCTTTTTGCAAGGATGATACCAGGTTGTTCACAATACTACGTACAGCTCACAAACCTTGTACGGCGCCCACATGGCACATCGAGATCCAGAACGGGGAGACATCCTTCAGGCTGAAGTGGGTCTTGCGAAAGTGCTGTTGGAACGGTCGACGTCACGATGTGGTTTAGCTGAGCGCTGTGAGATCCATGGTTGGCAGAGGCTTAGCACACATCCCAAATATGTGAAGTTTTTGTCAAGATTTGAGCTAGAAAGTGACAATAAGGTTCGAGCCAATGTGCCGTCCTTGAAGCGGTCTTGGCTCACCTTGGTAACACTGCGTTATGCAGTCCCCTACATGGCGACTCAACAATTTCTCAATCCTCCTTTCGAGGTGATGTCTTAAATCTACTCCTTGCGTAGTGCGACTGGACAACCATCCGGTTGAATTTGTGATCAAGGAAATCTGTCAGGTTTAGTCTTTGGAACACGGTCTTCCCATCAGCCAGATGATCATGTTCTGCTTTTGAGGGTCCGACGGGAAAGACCGGTAGCGTTGCGGTTCTGCTACGATATTATTCTAGCGAATTCCTGGTCCTTTGGGCGGAATTTCCCGATCTCAGCTTAGCCAGGTCTTCTGACTTGGGAAGTGATTGATTGAAGGATCGGAGATCATTTGGCAAAGAATTTCATGCCACGTTATTGAATGCATGATGCATTAGTGCGCTGGGCTACTGCGGCAACCCTGCGGGTAATGAATGGCAAAGCAATTGATCGAGAGCATTTAGAAGATAAGCCTGGGTTGCCGAGTCCCAGCAAGCTTTCTTGAGCTGGATTGACGTGATGTGTAAGTCTATGAGCGTTGTGGTATGTCAATCAAAATTGAACGTTTCGAAATGCGGAATAAGATTTGTAAGAATTTATGGCTTCAGAATGTCAATGGTATTGTCTGAAGACGGCTATCCCCCGTTAGCTCGCTAAGCCACCAAACTAGTTAATGTACTAGTATGCAGTGACAGACACGTTACGCAAAAAGCAAGGGTTTCACAGCAGAATCTAAGGTACGCCCATTCTCATAGGCCAATGTATTTACAAATTCCAACCTGTCAGTGTCAATTGCATGTACTCCACCTTAGTGTTCCAGACACCCGGATATCCAGTATGCGAGAACAGGTTGCGCAGCGGCAGCCTTTTGCTCCGGGTTGTGTCTTTGAGACTTGCGAGTGCTCAAAGTTTTCGATCAAGGGAAACCCACCAGCAGGCAAAGTCTATGTTGAATTCTGGATGCTGAATTTCCACGTCCCTAAGTTGTACTACTACGTATGTAAGTACCTGTGGGGGCGGTTAGCCAGCCATGGTCGATGTAATCCACATATACTCCCGCCGATCTGTATCTGGATGTGCCTCTAACCTACTTCTCACCCTAGGCATTGCACCGCACATCCGCAGGGGATGATTTCTAAAGGCAAGCTTCATCGCCCAAGCTCAGCTTCCAGACTCACACATCTAAACTGATAGATTGTATCTGGATAAGACATTCTGCAGATGGATGCTAAATAAAGCCTGAGTACTACCGGGGGGGCTGAAGTAGTGTTAGCTCAGGGCTAGTATCTTTACCTGTAAGCCCTCTCTGTACAAAACAGCTATTCCTAAATAAGGTTAAATGTAATGATTTGACTCATGTGAATGGATGCACACAGTGCAAGCTTTGTAGTGACGAATCATAACACTGTATCTGCGTAATGAGAACTAGCTGCAACTAGCACCATACTAACATTACTTCAGGGCCCCCCCATAGTAAGGAGATCCAAGAAGACTGCTGATCAACACACCTGCGTGCACATATTCTCTAGCTCAATAAGTTAAGGGCACGGTTCCAGACTTCACCACATTCGCAGGAAAACTTATGGTGTTCTGGCGAGTTTTCAAATGTAAAGCCATACCACTACTGACATGAGATTGAAAGCAAAGGAGTAGCAGTGATCTTAACATCACTCACGCAATGCGTTTTACCTTATGGTGATTGTTGCCAACACCCTCATGGTGCCTGCGCAGTTTTGTCACCAATTCCGCCAGTTGCCGTCCCGGGTGCTAAATTAGCATTTTTTTGGCTTCCAAATCTTTGTCTCATCTGTCCGGATCCGTCCAGTCCATGGGAATCGCCCTTCAGGTTCCACCAAATTAGGCAACAAGCACTGATTGAGTTCGTTAGGTCAGAAGCCTAACTTTCGCACTAACTCGGTGAGGTCCAGTGTCCAATTAAGATCGTTCCAATAGTGAAAATGGCCGATGCATCCCCGGAGAATTAGGTTTAAAGAGTGGTGAAAATGCGGAAAGGGGGTGATAAACGATCCAGATCTTGCGGATCTGGATACGGAGTTTTATTACTGGGGACGGTTTGATGTCATGCAAGAACTCACTTGTCTGCGGCACCGAGTAGCTGCGATGTGCCCTGCATGCGAAGTAGATGGCAAGTACCTAACAAGCCTATGACCTCGTGGGAAGTCATCCGCGTTCCAACTATGCATTGTACTTTGGGGGCACCCGCCCGAATTTTAATTGTCACCAACTATCACTTATATCTGAAAACCGGTTCCGTGTATGCCCCAACGCCCGGAGATATCTCAACAAAAGTGTCAACCTCATGGTCGGGAATACGGTTGTGGCTTCAAAGTATGTTGCAGTACCAAAAGAATTCCTAAGTCATGAATGTGAAACTGTCTTGGAGATGGGACGACATGATAAGCGCTGTAGGTGCGATGGTTCCGAGCTTGGGTATGTATCTACGTAGTAAGAAGGTTGGGGCTTGTTCTAAACAGGCTGTCCGCTGGGGTGACTCGGTTCAAGGCCTTGTGGGAGTCTCGTGTGAAACACGGCGATTGCAAACTCTCATGGTTTGCTCGATGGAGACCGTGGTTGGTTCAGGTCTTCCAGAAGCCACTGCTGTAGCAACTCACAGAGCAAGCTGTCACCGGCTCCTTCATAAGAACACTTAGATGTGATATTGCATTTTGGAAAAGCACACGTGAGTACAAAGGACTTCGGTTTTGGGAGATCTTTGATGCGTCCATGTGTGCTCATCTTCATTGCATCATCTATATCATCGCTATGCTCGCTAAATCTTCAAACAAGCACGACCTGCTGTCAGGGCAGTTCAATCAAAAAACTTCTTGAACGCTGCCCTCTCCTTCTTCTCCCTTTCACTAACTCTCTTCTTCACCTTGGTCCGCTCGTTGGCGATGCCGGGGTCGTTCCCTGCAAGCTTAGCAGCTTGGTCCAGATCCTCCAGCGCACCCTCATCATCCTTCAGTCCGATCTTTGCTAGCGCACGCCTGTAGTACGCCTTGCCCTTGTCAACATCTTTGACATCTGATGGTGCAGCTTCCAATGCGAATCCAGCCCATTTCTGCGCTTCCTGGTACCGCTGGGATTTTGTAGCTAGTAGCGCGGAGTTACTGTGCAGTGTGAACTTGAGCTGCCTCATCTGGCCTCCCAGCTCAGGTGGATCAGAGTCGTTTGTCTCAGGGTATTCATTCAGATAGCGAAGTGCTTTCTGATATTTTTCGATGCCTGTTTCGTTATCTCCAGCCTTGAATGCTTTGTTCCCCATCTCCTTGAGTTCTGAAGCGATCTTGAAATACTCTGATCCCTTCAGATCGGCACCCTGGTCATCAGGAAAATCCTCGTACGGGTCTCCAGTGGAATCTGGGGCCTTCTCTGTTGCCGAATTAAAGGCTGCGCCAGATAATTCGCCGCAATCTACCACTTTAACCTCCTGCTGGGGTGTGTCGCTCTGTGTGGGCAGATTCTCGATCTTCCTAACGATATTTTTCCCGTTGAGGACTTCGCCAAATACCACGTGCTTGCCGTCGAGATGAGGTGTTGGTACCGTCGTAACAAAGAATTGAGACCCGTTGGTGCCTAGAAACGAGGCAAGGTAAGTACATGTGGCATGTCCAAGAAAAGCGCATGGCCCTACCTGGTCCAGAATTGGCCATCGAAAGCAAGAACGGCTTTTCATGCTTGATTTCAAAGTTCTCATCGTCAAATTTTTCGCCATAGATGGACTCGCCTCCCGTGCCATTGAATGCTGTGAAGTCACCACCCTGGATCATGAAAGACTTGATGACTCGGTGGAAGATTGACCCTGGGCCTCGCCTTAGTGCGCGATAGACATCTTTGGAGGCTATTCTCCAAACCTTTGTAGCTCAATAGCTGGCCCTTTTTCCCCACACCTTTCTCGCCGGTACAGAGCGCGCGAAAATTCTCGGCTGTCTTGGGAACGACTGTCTTTCCTGTTAGAGCTTCCTAATGGGTCGGGCGGGGAATGCAAACTGACCATCTTTGTACTACGCCAAGACGTCAGCAGGCATGTAGACGATATGGGAGTGGAGTAATAAGCTTACAAGCTCAAAGACTATCCTGCCTTGTTTGACACCACCAATCTCAATGTCGAAGTAGACCCTTGGGCGCTCTGTTTCTTGGTCAGTTGGTTGTACTCGATCAGTTTGCGGGCCACGAGAAAGGCATACTAGGTTCTGTCATTTCTGAGACTCGACTAGGGCTGAGTTATGAAGACTTTTCTTGGGCAGCAAAGCTGAGAGACAGTAATATTCTGATAGAAACAAGAGCGAGCCTTGTGGTGAGAAAACTGTTTGAGAAACTTCTAGATTGGCTTTCAAGGATCAGGTACAAGCTTGGCATCTCCACACTGCGACAATTGACCAGCGCCAAGCCAAATCATTATTATTCTCACAGCTTTTGGAGATGATCTCTAGGACTCTCTGGTTCGTCCCTTCTCCACTTAATTTACAATCAACCCTCATCGCCCATCTACACTGATATCCTTCATCTTCCCCTCCGAGGATCTCTTCACATTGTGATAGCCAAAGTACGCCAGCAGCCGGAAAAGACAGCGATTCTGGCATGAGTCTGACATCGATCCAGTCCAGCACAGTCCATCTGCATCTTAGATAGAAATGCCCATTTGCCTGAAGTACTGGCACACCCGTAGCATCTTCCAGACCCTCTAACATTCAGCCTTCTACTCGAGGAGGCCTTGGTTCATCTGTTTCTTGGTTTTCTTCTTCTCCATCATGATCTCCACCCATTCTTCACAAGCAGGACACCTTGAGTTGACGACGACAACCCGTTCGCGAGACCTTTTGCATTGCAAGGACCACTTTGTCCCCATACTCAGCAATCTCATTCGGTAAGAAGGACAGATCAACTTGTGGTGTTCTGTATGCGCAGGAGAGCACCGCAGGTATCTTGTTTCGATGTGAATGCACATTTTGGCTGGATTTGGAAAGAAGTAAAAAGCGTTGCTGGATTCTGTTCGGCTGAGCTGCTGAAAGACCACGACGGTGCTGCTGCATCTTGCGGCTCTTTTTGGTTTCATCCCTCGGCAAAGATTATACGCTCTTTCACTCCGTATCAGTGACTCAGGACTGCGGACTGCCGCTGCTTGCCGTGACCGAACAAACCATTCTTCCATTCAAGGCATGGATAAACACTGCAAAGAATATTGAAAACACGCCATGTATCACAAACTTACTATCTCTTTCCCATAGATATTTCTGAAAGAAGAATGCAATATTCAGGGCGCTTATATAGCTACCTATGTCTAGAGATCGATAGATATGAGGAACAACAAAACCTCATGTCCTATGAGCAATCAAGGCGAGAGTAAACCATCAAGGCAGCAATGGAGACCTACGCTAAGCTCACGACGCCCAAAGAACCGATTTCCTACATAGTAACAGCTGTGGAAGTACAGTCCTGAAGAAGGCAGCTGCCCCTACTGCATCCATTGAGTCCACTACCCAGGCCCTGCAGCAGGCGCTTCATGCATGCACTGCGATATATTGATAGTGGCTGTTCATGAAGGTGGAGGAACGGCCTTCCGGTGGTGGGGTCGGTGGTGGCGAGGGAGGTGGGGTGGGTAATGGGCCAGGGCCCAGTTCAGAAAATAAACCAGCTACAAAGTCTATCACGTTAAGTGATATGGACACAGCTGCTGTAGGCGGTGGAATCTGAATTGGTGGGCCTGTCAGAGTCATGCTATTTGCTGGATTGGGCGATGGCATTGGTCCTAGCTTTTGAGGACGCGCTTTGAGCCGCAGACTGGGGCCAGGCTTCTGGCCGGTGAGGGCAGACTGATGGAATTGGTCGTGGTTGTTGAGGACGCGGCTTTGGTTGAGGCTTTGGCCCAGGCCTAGGATTCGGAGCACATGTGCTTGGTGGAGGGGCATCGGCATATCTTGAGAACTCTTCAGAGCGTGATATTGAGGAACAGGGAATCGTGTTGTTAAGTGAGATGCTATAGAGGGTGCGTTCGACGAAGCAACTGCTTGGCCCACGTTTGGTCTGCCAGATTTTAGACCCAGAAGGTTTTTCGCCTCCTTCAAGGCTGTCCGATGGTGATCTGCATCCATAGCGTTTGTGCACGTTTTCGCTCTTCTTCTGAGGTTTGACGAAATCTGTGTGGTAGTGCGATGTGTTGACGACAGTGCCGTTTTGATCGTGCTGAAAAGCTAAGAATCGTCCTTCTCTAAGTTCTACATCCGCAAGATCCATGCCGAGCAGCTTTATATAATACTGGGTGACCATCATTGTTCACATCGGCGTTTGTCGATGATGTAGAACGATTGGCGGCTGCGACTCCGCCGATGCGTTTGCGAAACAAAAGAAGAAATGCTAGTAGCAGACACAGCCACAACTTGCCAAACAGACTGAACCATGAGTCGGGTCATGGCATCGCGCCGGTGGTGATGGTGGGTTGTTGTACGCGTGTATGACTTATTGCAATATCGTCTTAGCCGACAACGAAATCCGAAACTTGAAACTTTACCGCGTTTGCAACGAAGCGCTAGTTTAGAAGCTGCTAGGAGCGAGAACTGTGCAGCTTGCCGCAAGATAAGGCGATATGATGCGATGCAAGGTTTCATTTCACAAGGAGGGATATTGTGTCACCATCGTGTTACTATCGTGCCCCCATAAAGATTCGATATTTGTGCACCCCTCTTCACCCAGTCGCTCGGAGGTCGGCAAAGTCTCTGAAGGGCGGCCCCTGTACTTTTCCATTACTATTAAACTTGATACCTTCCTTCCTGAGTAGCTCAAGTTTCTCGCTGGCATTCTCACCATCCGCGCCCCAACTGCCGCCAAACCCACCAATGCTTCCGTCACTCGCAAGGACACGGTGGCAGGGCACGTCCGGCGCAAAAGGATTGCTACGCATCCCGTTTCCGACAGCCCGCGCTGAGGAACCGAGGTAGTCAGCAAGGGCAGCGTAAGTGGTATAGCGGCCACCAGGTACTGAAAGCAAGGCGGCGTAAAGGCGTTTACGGTAAGGAGTCAAGCCTAAATGGGCGTTTATCCTATGAAGTGTTAGGGATAAACCCACCTTGCCATCATTCCCTAGTGGAGGCGAGGGAATACTGTCAGACTGGTTTGGCCTTTGTGCAAAGCTCAGGGTAGACTGTTTGACCGAGGTCTTCGCTCTTTTGGGGCGGTAAACGGAGGCATCCTTGGAGTTCTGCTCAGCCTTCTTACGTTTCGGCATGCTCTCGTTACGAGCGAAAATTGCCGGAAGCGGGGGGATTTTCTTGTCTCGATCTCTTGTCTCGGAGATTGGAAGCGCATCTTTATACTTTTTGTCCGGAATCCCACGCACCTCCAAGCTCTGCAAATCCAAGGCAACAAGATCTTCCTTGCCATCTTTGATGCGCTCTGCCATTTCAATAGCCTTGACCAGCTGCTCACGCGTCATGTTTGTGACAGCAGGCCGGTTCAGACGTTTGTCCCACTGCTCCCGCCCTTCGCCAATGGTGTTGTCCAGGATAATCCTTGCGAAACAATGATCCAGAGTGACAGGCCATTCTGGCTGCGCCGCATCGCGGTTGCGAGCTAGAGTGGGAAGGGTCTTCGAATACAGTTCTCTCCAAAGTCCCTGTAGTCGCTTGACTTTAGCAGCCTCCGTGTTTCCAATCATTGAAAGTGCTGACTTTTTATTAATAATCAAGACCTCAAATGTTCAGAGCAAGAATGGCGAAGTGCCAAGATACACTAAATGCGTCTCTTACTAGTACCACTGGCACCCCCTCCTCCTACTTATTACCTATTTACTACGGCTACTAGTCGAGTTGCACCGCACTGCAGCTGGATGTTTAAATGGGAGCAAGATCAAGATCACAGCCAAAGAAATTTGGAAAGGAACCGGTGCCACCTCTGTTTCTCCTCAAGGAGCAGGCAAGGGGGAACGCCAGCTGGTTTCCTACATGCGGAGAAAGTGGTTCTACAGCTCCTTGAGGGAAATCGCCTAAATTTTCGTACATGCATTGTGAAGACCAATGTATGATATCTCAATTTGGCATCTGGCCTTGACCTGAGAGAAGGGGGAATAGATGGATCATTCCAGGCCTTCGTCGTCAAGCCAAACGTCGTTCACGGGAAATGATGCCAGGATCTGAAGATGAGTTCTGTGTCGCTATCCCATTAAGTGACTCCGCTCTGCACGCTGCCACCCAAGAGGGTACCGTCCTCTGATAGACATCGAAGCTGCGCCATTTTATCGTACCTGGAAAGTACAGCCAAAGGCGATGAACTATCCACTGTGCTAGCCGGGGCAACATTCAATTGGCTGATCATTTTTCCCTCGATCGGAAGGACACGAACACCACCATTGGGTGTAGTCCAGAAGACTTCTTTCTGTCCCGGAGACCTCCAAGCAACGCCTCGAATTGCTCCCACAGTATCAACCCACCATACTCCATATGACCGTCGAACAAGCACAAAGCAGCCACCCTACTATTACACGCAGCCTTGTAAGTCGGAGCTAACGCGTGCCTGTTCCAGCGGCTGTTGCTAGTGATCCAATAAGCGGCTTCAACACTACCATATTATCCAATCCAAAACACTTCAATGTGGTCTTCGCTTCGAGAGACAGCAGCGACTTCGCCTTCTGGGGAAGCAGAACAAGGCGACGAGATGGTACAAGCCTTCCAACCACGCTCTTCTTGCCATACGCGGCCTTCTACAGCGCCGTCAGGCGTGACGAAACACACCTCCATATGCCGTCCATTACAGCATATATGGGCGATGTTGCTCCTGGGGGCAGGAGAGGCAGAGAGAGGAAGAGAGAGTAAGTTCATAGGTAGGGTGTACCAAGACATCTGGGAATGGGATCCGGAAAAGAGCTCGTATGAAGAAGAAGCATTTTGAGATGGACGTAGGAAAAGCTATTTGAGGAAGAGAGGACACAAATATCGGACCTGCAAAAAGAACCATTGACTCAACACATTGTGGGCGGTGAGACGAGGTTCGGTCAACCTTCTGTCATATGCTTCATACCTAACAAGTCACCGAGGTAGCAAACATCACGAATTGGTCCACAATTGATCCATGCTTTATACCCGTGTATCTTTCCTGAAACACACCGCGAAGGCGGATGCAAGTTGTCATCCAAGCCGACTGTGAGCGGCAACATGCATTTCGTTCGTTTCTGCTACGCTGTTGAAAGTTGTTGCAGAACGACGGAGTGGCATTGACGGTGGAAAAAGTGTCCAATGCTTCTGCCGCAAGAGTGGCCCCACTGATGCCTCGACGCGGCGCCTTTTCAGCAGGTTCCCTTCGATCTAGTGCTCGGCTACCTGGCCACAGCAGGCTCGGCCATCTTCACCTACTTGCTGGATTTGCCTAGAAGTCTACTAAGATTGATCAAGGTCAACCTAGCAGAAGACGTCACGAAGACCCGTCAGGTCGGAGGAGAAAGCGAAAGAGAAGAAAACGTGTTATCGCAATGGCTCAGAACACCCATGTCACCGCACAGAGCAAGAGAGGGCCGCTAGAGCAAGGACGTCGAACATGCCGTGTGCCGGAACGGATCAAAATGAAGGTCAGACACGATCTGATGTTGAACAGCTATATCCAATCTGGTCTCGAACAACATTAGACTGTCCACTCTCTTGGAGCGGGCCTGATGTTACATGTGAGGCTCCTGGTCCATCCGAATCGGCCTCAAGTTACAAAACCATCTGTGCGCGTCTTTATTGACATGGCCAGATGGGGAAGCGCGGTGGCGCTCAGTAGTTACTACGTAGTTAGTGGCAAGAAATCGGATGTGGCTAGGAGATCTGTAGCCTGGATTGGCGATTCCACTTTTAGTCAATTCGCGTACTACGTAGTCAATCCGCGTCAGAGATTCACTTCACAAACAGGAATTTTCAGCCTCCAGGTGATTTGAGCATCTCTTGTAATGCTCTGCGATCAAAGTACAGTCGCACCTGCACGTGTACTCTCTTTACATCCAACAAATGCTCGGCTGTGCAAGGACAAAGATGTCGACAGGGAACTCGCACTTAACCAAATCATGTCCATACCCTGCAGAGTCGCTTCCAAGACGAAGACCCACTACGTGGAGATGTCCTTGATCAATATTACGGATGGATTCCCGAGAATATTCGGCCTCTCTCAAAAGAGGTTCATCAATTCCAGTGCCCAGGGAAGTCGATGGTGGTACTGATGAGAGAGCCGAACCCCGTCTCGATAAATCCGCACACAATGACCACTTAGGAGAGCCATTAACTAAACGTGATAAAGCACGAGGTTTTGTACGAAAAGCTAGAGAAAAGGCCATAGATCTCGTCACTCCGAATAACAAGGACACCCTCGATCCTAAAGATGATAGGGCGGAAGATGCAATTGACCAAATCGCTTGTGATCCTGCGTTCAACCCTTCGCTCGTCTTGGATCAAAGTCCTCCAAAGCTCACCAAAGCCGACCGCTCTACCGTGAAGTCGGAGTTGAAGTCGGTGGCCCAGAGCCTTGTTCATCCTCGCCAGACTATCCAAGGCAAGGCCACCAGATCGGCCGCCGCCAAAATTTCCAGAGCTCAACGCCCTTTTCTATCTGCAGAGCAAGACAGAAATCTCCTCGCAGCACATGATGAGCTGGACAGATTGGCGTCAAGTAGATCTTCTACACGTGCTCAGACTTCAGCCGAGAGTGGTGCTGAATCAAGCGGGGAGGAGAAAGGCGCCAAACAGAAAGTCGAAAAGCTCGAGGAGCAGAGGTCTAGTTTGCAAGTGGCCTGGACGCTTGGAAGGCATGTTGACAGAGTCAAAGTTGTGCAGGCTAGGGTTCCAGAGTCCCGTTCTTGGGATAACTTCGTGGAGAAGACTCCCTCAGGAGAGCGAGGTCGTTTTCAATGGGAGCGCTGGCTAGGCTATCAAGCGCTCTACTATACGCGTGGTTTCACTGCGCGCTACATTGATGACTTCGACGAACTTCCATTTGACATGGAGGATCTCTCGAGGATTGTTGAGCGCCTGGTACTTGTCAGTACTCCCTGGCAGGCTTGGCTCATGTCGATCCGCCAGATCTACACTTGGGAAGACCCGAAACGTACGGGCAGGTGGTTCGCGTTATTCTGTTGCTTGTGGTATACCCAACATATCATGGGGTTTGTCTTCGCAGACATAATCTACACTGTCCTTAAGAACAAGTTTCATCCCAGTTCGGTTGAGTCGGTCCGAGAGTCAATGAAGCGTGGTATCGATCGTGAAGCTCGAGCTCAGGCATGGGGCGAGCTAGTGGAACAGCATGGCCGTAAGGACTGGATCGAGCCTTTGCTCGATGAACTCGGACCATACATTCAGTTACAGCTCGGCGACTTGACGGACCTTCTAGAAGTTCTAGCAAACTTCTACAGGTGGAGGACGCCTTGGAAGACTGCCGAGACACTTTTCTTCTTCGGCTGCTGCCTGCTCATCACCTTGCTGACTGATATGGCATTCTGCATGAAGGTTTTCTGGTTCATCGTAGGCGGCTGGTTCTTCCTGTGTTTTCCCATCGCTAGCAGATACCCGAAATATCGATACCTGGTGGATCCGGCGAAATGGATGTTCTGGGACATTCCAACGGATGCGGAGTGGAGTATCGAACTTCTGCAAAGGAAGACTTCATTTCAGCAGAGACGGATCGATCGAAGACAACAAAATAACGACCATGGTAATCCTGCGGACAGTGACAGTGAAACGTCAAACTCAGAATATGAAGAAGACCCGACTTTGCCACGCCATAGCACTCCAGGTTTGGAAGCACCTCCTTACAACACCGAGACCTTCAAATTCCGCGCCTACCAACGCAACACCCGAGGCCACCTCCTCCTCACCCGCAGCGGCATCCGCTTCTCCTCCCGCTGCCGATCTCATTCCTGGTCAATCCCCTACCGCCACCTCACCGAAATGCGCAAAGCCAAGCCAGACGCCACAATCAAAGCCACCACCCTCGGCACCGCCAGAGCCGGTCTCCAATTCCTCACCACTACGACGGGCGAAGGATCCCAAACCAACGAGCCAATCACCATCACCGTCCCTCGAGACCGGCGGGATGAGATCTTCAATCTGGTTCTCGGCTGGAGCGGCTTGACGTGGCGCTCGGTGTGTATGGAGAGACGGAGAGCGGAGAAGACTGCGGGAGGGAAGATGAAGGAGCTTAGAGCGTTGCTGGTGTGAATTGCATTGCATTGAGGCTGGTTAGTCGGTGGATACGGGCATTTCTTCAGTGTCCATGTCTCCCCGGGTGCGTAGGGCGCAGAAGCATATGTACCAGAATTCTATGATACTGGGAGCGGCGCCATTGGGGCTTTTGGCGTATTCAAGCTGTCAGTCCAGCGGCGAATGCGTCTCTTGGCTTTCCTTCCCTTGTTAGATAAAGGGGCACCACTTGCAGAGACGGTGTTGAGCGTAGAAATGGAAGTCCGTCCCAGTATATACCTTTGGGACCGCGATTGAAAGTACGCGTTCATTGTTCCACACCTCCTTCTTGGATCCGTTGAAGCTTGCCGCCGCGTATGAGTGAGTTGGGCTGAAGTAAGCCCAAGGGCTTGGAGAATTATCTGTTTTCCCCTTACTCTATATTCCTTTCTGGATGGTACAGGCTTCGAACAATAATTGAATCTGCTCTACAACGGTTTTAGCCTCATAAGACTGCACCCTCCGTTTTCAAAGCTGCCCTGCGGGGAAATTTCTTATGCAGTCGCTGGAGCGAGCGTCCCGCTTCCTCCCGATAGCCAGCTCAATTCAGTTCCAGCAATGTTTCCATACCGATCGATGCCAGCAATTCGCCACACAAGATATCCTGACTCATTGGTGATGTGGCAATATGCCAGATTCAAGGTCTGGGACTCGGGGACGCTGCGCTACCAAAAGTCAGTGCCGGAGTTGCCGAACCACCAGCAAACAACCTCGGCGACGCTCCCTGATTGCCCAACCAATTCGAGAAAGCGGGCACATCGTTCGACAGCCCAAACATGGCAGAGGGCGGATTGGCTAGCTTCTCCACCAACAGCACAGCCAATGCGCCATCACTCGCAACCAGCTCCCTGACGTTTTCGTGCTTGATCATCTCCCTTGCGTGCTTGGCAATTGCGTTGGCCAGCTGTCCCTTCAGCTTCTCCGCACCGCGCTGCTGCAGCTGACTGATTTGCGGGTACCATTCTGCTGCCCACTGACCGTCGGCGGCGGTCAGATTAGTGATCTCTTTGGAGAGGTTTTGCATGCCCGTGTCGCGGATCTCTTCGAGCTCGTACTTGTCCCCCAGGATGAAGAGTTGGAAGGATGTTGCAGTGGTGAGGCCATGGTTCAAGATCTCGTAGGTGTATAGATATTGGAGCATGATACCTAGGGCGTTTTCGTCGTCGCACGAAAGGTCGATCTCGCGGGTAGACGCCTCCTGGTCAAATGCTCGTTAGAATGGACATTGGCCTTCTACAGATCATGTTCGGGCTTCTTCGCGGCTTCTGAGGGTCCAAGAGGTGTGGTGGGGGCTTACCGTAAATTGGCCTCCACATGCTGCTTCAAAGAACGGACATCTGGGACATAAGATTGCTCGATGGCACTTCCACTCGCGCGTCTTGCATTTGATGGTCATATCACTGTACTTCTCTTTGTTGAACAAGCTAGCTCGGAATCAGTGCTTGCATGACATAGAGCATGTTGGACAGAATCATTCGCGAGAGCGATCGCAATTGAGCGAAGCAGCCACGCGAGAGTTGAGTACAAAATATCGGGCAATCCCAGAAATTATGGATGATCAAGCCCTACGCAAGCGTAGAATGATTGTTTGCCAGCAAGATAGGAATCAGCCTTACTCATGCTGTGTTGCCTTCAAATCATTCCCCTGTTTCTTGGCTGGACCTTGAGTTGGAAACCGAAAGTTGTTCGAGCCAGGAGCAGAAGCCGGTGCAGAAGCATACTCCTTGGCAGACGCAAAGACAGATTCTGCTGGCTGATTGTATGCAATATTAAGGTGACCACCAAAGACATTCCTCACCGGGGGTGGGCTCTGAGCCGGTGTGTCTGTTTGAACACGTCCAGAACTGGGAAACATGGTGCGCTCAGCTGCTCTGTCACCAGTTGAGACGCGAAATGCTGGTGTTTGTACGTTGGAAGGCGATGGGTAGACGAGGATTGAGATACTAAAGCATCGAGTAGCAACTTGGGATGAAATACGGAGTACGGAGTAGTGGCGAGGCGACTGAAGTCAAGATAAAATGATTAGTCATTAGGGTGGAGATCAGAAATTCAATTCTAAATTCTGACGTCCAATCTCTTTCCCCATCTTCAACTCTCCTGCTCTTGGTCCAAGTCAAGATGGAGGCTGCATGAAACGAAGGTTGTTATAAGGGCGTTGCTTTTAGCGAGCTGCTTAGCCCTGCTGGGATCACTCCGCGTCGCCCTGCCTGGGAATTACATGTCTCCTGAATGACCGTACGGGCAGGTGAAGTAGCAGCGAGCTGCACCATGCATGTCGGATGCACATTTCATTCTCAACAAATTCAATTTTCCAATTGTGCATGCTGCTCGAGAGCCTGCGCAGTGCTCTGTTGCGGATAAAGGCACTCGAGGTGGCAGCTCAGAGCCCGTTTTGGATATACTACCAGGACGGCGGATGCAATCCGAAAGCTGTTTGTGACTGCGGGAAATAGTGGAAGCCTGAAAGAACGCAGCTTACGCAGATGGAGTTCTTACACATTGACGGCGCTCATCCGCCTATAAAGTTGTGGACATGAAGTGGAACGCTTGTGAGAGAGGACTGGGAACAGTGGGAACGACATCGCTAGCCTTGAAAGCCTCCATTTGCGGGTCTGTTTTCATTACAGATGTCGGCCGTTCCCCCAATCTTACACTTACACCTGCACCCAGAGTAATCTCTCGTTTTCCTATTTCTTTCCTGCTATGTGTTGATCGTGGTCGCTAACCTTGCGCTAATGGCAACAATACTTGCAGTTCGACTTAGGCCAGGTGAAGCGGGATTTTTAGACTTTGGACCTGAGATACGACATCAAGTCTATAGATTGCTCCTGGTAGACCGCAGCCAGAAGGTAATACCAGTCCTTTGTAACCCGTGTGGGCACCTCTGATCGAGATGAATTTACAAATCCGCCCCACCGGTTCACGGCTCAACTTCTGCGAACATGCCACCAAACTCTCGACGAAGCATACTACCTCCTCTATACGGAGAACAGTTTCGCACTCTACATGGACAACATGACCAATTCCAAGAACATTCCGCTCTCCCTCGTCAGAGGAAACATCAATATGCTGCAAAGAATCACAATTGGCATCCAATCAATACAGCTTTTAAGGGAGGATCTATACCTCCTCTATTCTTTCCAAGTTCTACAGGTTCTATGGATCGATGGAAACCTGCTCCGAACCATTGGATTTTATCGACCTTTGGTATACGGACCAGACGTAGCCCTGCAAAGATGTACCGACCAGTCATTGGGCTTGCTCCTCTCAGCATTTGGTGGGAAGGAAGCCTTTCGCAAATTCATGGTTCAGTTTCCAAGTCTTTCAGTTGAGTACAACTTTGGCATTGCACTCGATGTCATCCCACCCGCTACTGGTAAAGTAGTCAAGGGAGTGCCGCAGGTGGGTGCTCTTGAGTGTCAAGAGATGACGACGAGCTGACTCAAAGATCAGTGGCATACAGCTAACATGCGTGAGGAAGTGTATCAGAGGTACCCGATATTAGAGCTTGAGGACAGCAAGGACTAGGTTGAGAGAAAGTCGTTCCTGGTAGGAAATCAAGATTTACTGCTATTCATATAGATTCAGCCACTGACTTGAACAACAGACGCGCGCAATGGCACCGAAACCAAAAATAATTCCCATTCGCGATCAGCGACGAGAAAGTAAGCGGAATTGAATACCTCGATGTTGGTCAAAGCACAGTTGGAGAGCATTCGTGCTCATTTTTTTTTTTCATAAGAGTAAGCTGAATGTTCGAACGACGTTCACGATTGTGTTATACGATCGGTCTACTTCTATCGTCAAACATGTCCCGAAAGTTATCCCAGTCCGGATCGCCCTCCAAGGTATGTGCCAGCGTGTTGATCCTGCTGACCCCATACAAGGGTGGCGTCCCCTGTCCCCCCCTCCTCTTTTCCGGTTTCCCCGTCCCGGGCCCCGCCTCCACTTCTCCCATTCCTTGGCATCTAGCCTACGCCCTCCTGGCGGAACCGGTCCAGCCGGCCCAACCAACAAACTCCTATCACACCTCAAAAACCCGGCGGGATCAAACTCTGCCATCCTCTTCCTCAGATTCCAATCTCCCTTCCCCTCCTCCATCAAGATCCGCCCTGCATACGCCTGAAAGGTTTCCGCCCGGAAAATGGCGTCCCATCTTTGCTGCGCCTGTGCGCCGGTTGGCATGAAAGGTTGCCTACACCATGGACACGGCTGTGTTGCCGCATTGGCTGGGTCATAGCACGTCAGCTCCCGACAGAGACGGCACGGTCGGTAAGGTTCGTCGCCACTGTTATTGAGGGCAGCTGTCCATGGCCACAGCCACACGTAGATGCAGCTATCGATGTGATCGATGCCGGTGAGGTAGGGCACAGCCCAGCGCTGATGGTGCCAGTGGTTGCAGTTCCAGGGCGGTTCGGGGATGGTAGCGGAGGACGGTGCGATGGCAGATGCAGACGTCTCGGTTGAGAGGGGGTGATGAGCGTGGTGCTCGTCGATGGCGAGTGCTTATGCTGCGGCCGCGGCTTTCGTAGTAGGAGGCGATGGCGTTGCGAGCTTGGATGCTTGATTGTCGGGTGGCACGGGTGGTGTTGCCGGATGAGTTGGAGAATTCTCGTCGTGTGCGTGCCATTGCTTGCTGTGTTATTGGCGGTGGTGTTGGACAAGAGCAAGGACAAGAAGAAGAGGAAGACGACGACGAAGAAGGTGCTACTGATGGTGGTTGTCTCTCTTGCAGTCCAGCTGCAATTCTCACAAACCCTTTGATGGTATGATATGGTATATATGAGATGGATAAAGAACAACACGTCAAGGTTCTGCTCAAACAGGAGAAGGCATGTCGTCTTTGACAAAGAAAGTGGAGTGGAGTGATACGAGTGGAAGTCTACAAAGAAGAGAGAAATTGTCTTACGCTGAATCTGCAGGATTACTTATACTTCGTGGAGGATGGTCGCTTCAATGCGATGCTCTTTAATAGCAGGATCCATATTGTTGCAACTGGGAGCAGTGGGGATTATAGAGAGACTATTCATTCAATGGGTGAGTGTGTTATTGTGAAGGTGGGCTGGAGTGGAAGTTGTGAATGGTGATGGCGGGTCTGTGCACATTGTGGAAGGAGTGACAATGGAGGTTCCTTAATATGGAAATAAATGGAGTTGATTGAGGGGTTTCCTCTATAGAAGACAATGGATGCTATGAATAGTGTGCACAATAATCGCTGGGAAAGAAAGAATGGTTTCTGACAAAGATGATTTAGGGGGTGTGTCCTGGGCGAAGATGCCAAGATGGATTCAGGGGACGTTGCATTTCGGCAAGAAAATACAGGGCCATGGTGCTTTTTGCATTGACTGGAAGTCTGGCATATGCGCTGTTGGGAGCATTGTTGATCGGGTATTGTGCATCTTGGATCAGCACTCTTCTAGGATGGATTGGACGGTAATGTAAGGTACCCTCAAATGCAACAGAGGCCCCAACGCAACATTAGCAACTACCTAGAATCACCTACCGTAAGATTGCTTGCATCAAGACCCAAAATGCCTCAGATTCTATGACATCGATATCACACTTATCAAGAGATGTGCTCTACACATTCAATAAGATTGTATATCTGATGGTGTAAGTTGGAGACCAGAAGTTGTAAATCTTTACCTAGAATACATGATTTAGTTAAAGTTTGGGGGCATGGGCCGGGTAAAGGTGTTGCGTTTGAGGCCAGGTTGCATTGAGACTAACCTACGTTATCAGTCAATTATGATCGGACAGAATTCTACGACCAAGACCATTTTATTCTGTTGAACAGGTAGAAGAAATGGCTTTGTTCTCTCCCAAAAAGGCGCAGGGCGCACAGCAATAAGTACAAATTGCAGCGAAATTAGCTGCGAAACTACGGCAGAAACTGACCAATCAAAAGCAGGCAAAAGGCAAGAGTTACGCGTAGAAATCGCGTTTGACATAATCTCTTGCACAGCCAGAACAGAAGTTTGTACTCAGCCTGAAGCCTGCTTCAGTGCTGGTATAGACAAGCTATTGATTGTCCCAGATTATGTTACATGCTGATCGAAGTAGGCGCTCAAAATGAATTTCCTACTTGGGTTCAATGACTATGAGAGCACAAATGACGAACAGTTCGAGGTAGTCACAGCGGGAAAATGCTGTCAGGAATTCGATGCGTTCGAAAAAGAGGCTTTCGAAGCATTCATATCCAGGCAACGACCTCGTTCTGAACAGCACTCGACTTCCACTGCAGATGCTTCAGAACAGACTGAACCAGGCGGGGGAATATATTACCCACTTACTAGTAATCAGCAAATGAGGGTACTAGAAGTCTTTCCCGGTGAATTCGATGATGTTTTGCAGTGTAAGCTGCATGTCTGCTCAATTGAGTTCGCGTTTCCTACTAGACCATCTGAGCAGCCCGCCAACTCACTCATTGGGTATACCTTTACTCCTCGTACTTACTTCGCGATTTCCCATGCCACCAGTCAACCGATCTGGTATACAGCGCTCTCATATGTTTGGGGGAATAGCGCCTTCGTGAAGGCGATGATCTGCAACGGCAAACCCTTCAACACAACGCACAATTTGGACCTAGCTTTACGCTACACGAGAAGGACAGACGCATCTGTCATGCTCTGGGCTGATCAAATCTGTATAAATCAGGGCGACCTAGTAGAGAAGACTCAGCAGGTACTTCTGATGGACAAGATCTATCAACGGGCTTGGAGCACGCTCGTATGGCTTGGAGAGGAGGGTGATAACAGCAGCGACGCAATGGACACCATTGGGTCAATCAGTGCGTCACTCCGGTGCAGCATGGACGAGAAAGCTCCGGATGTGGAAGACTTCGAGAGGTTAGGCCTACCCGCTCCAGAGTCACAACAGTGGCGTGAATTGGCCAAATTCCTAGCCCGGCCATGGTTTCAACGTGTATGGATAATTCAAGAAATCGTCTTATCCAACAGCATTCAGTTTCAATGTGGATGGAAAACCATCTCTTGGCTTGAGATCAACACATTTGCTGTCAATTTTGTCAAGCATGATCTCACTCAATATCTTGATGACCCCGCGGATGAGAATTCTAAAGTAGGATGTACTCGAATCACAAAAATTGACCGGTTGAAAGACTATCACACCACGCACCCATTCCAATCAGGGTTACTGAATGCTCTAGTCGAGGGACGAGGAGCGCAGGCAACCGATCCCAGAGACAAGGTCTTCGCGATCATGGGAATGACAGCAATCAAGATCAATCCGGACTACTCTAAATCTGTATCTGAAATCTATCTAGAAGCTGCTCGAAAGATGGTAGATAATTCATACAACAACGTCTTCAGCGTCTTATGCTGTGTTGATCATCAACAACCAAGCACCTTCTGTCCTTCCTGGGTCCCAAATTGGAGTAGCATCGGTCAGACAACCTCGCTAGGAATTTATGGAGATCGCCAAGGGATATATGAAGCTTCCAGAGGCACACGATCAGGCTCAAAAACTAAGCTGATTAATGACCGACTTTGTCTCGATGGCATCATTTTTGACACGACGTCAAATATCAGTCCATTGGCAAGTGCATGTCTTAGAGATCTCATAGATCCAACAACTCGCACTGCCCAGTTTGTTCTTGGTGGCATGCAGACGACGCTCAAAAACTGCCAGCCCTACCCATCAGATTCTGGACTCTTCAACGCTTTTTGGCATACCCTTGTCGCTGGCAAAGATGGCTCCGGCATTTTGAAAGCACCTTCCACCTTTGCAGAAGTCTTCTCCATCCTGCTCAAGTCGGCCAACGGGAGCTTTCCCTCTATGCCAGACCAGCCAATTTCGGAACGAAGAAGTCTCAGCCGCAGCCAGAAGCATACGTACCGCCAGATGCAAATCGCCTTCGAAGCGGCGGTCAAGGGGCGAAGGTTTGGCACGACGTCGAAGCGGTACATGGGACTTTTTCCAGCCGGCACGAAAGTGGGCGATCAGATCTGCGTCTTCTTGGGCGGACATATCCCGTTCGTGGTCAGGCCGTCGGAAACGAGCGGCGCTTTTCAACTGATAGGGGAATGCTATGTGCATGGCATCATGGATGGGGAAGTGATGAAGATGACGGATTTGAAGAGAGAAGAGATTCAGTTGGTATGAGATGACGACGCTGATTGCGGCAGCAGTACCGTGCAACCGAACAGTGTTTTCGTTGCTTGCAACCAAGGCGAGACCGAACAGTTTGTTACCCTTTTCTTGCCTGAGGCTTGCTCAGGAACGCGGCAATGACTACTTGGCCCACCTCCGCCAATGTATGTGTCACACTATATGATGCTACTATACAAAGTATTTCCGGGCATGCAACGTCTCACAACGGCATTATTGGCGTATCCAGATTGCGAGCGCCAAGGCTCATAGATGGCAGGAATTTGACCCATAACGAGTCGAGTCTCCAGGCACAATCTCCTGCATTGGTCTCATGAATTACCACGTAGATACGTTTGAACACGTTTCGCAACCCGTATGGTGTCTCGTGCTTGATACACGCCGACAAAAAAGAAGGCCATCGCCATTCTGTTGATTCTCTAATGATGTTTCTCAAGAAGGTGGCATCGAACTCCAGCACCTCACCAGAATAACCCTGTCAGAAATGAGAAACCGGACGAAGTGGCATACAGATGAAAAAGATATGCAAGCACAGATCTCGAAAACTGTCTACTATCGAGTGGAAAACCCATCGCCAGAGTCACGTTCTGGACTCTTTCGAGTTATTTTCCCTATTCCATCTAAAAACCGGAACGGCTCCAGAAGGAGGAGGATATTAGGTCAGCAGGCCCATGGGATGAGGCTTGTATCTTCGGCTAATCTTGTCCTGCACTGGATATAGGGGGAGTGCTGGTCCGCTTTCTTGGTGAGGCGGGCCGGGTTGAGGTAGAGTTGCTTGATACAGGAGTTATTGGTTACGCTTTGTGGATGAGAGAATGAGCGCGCCGTGGCGACGAGTTGTGTTAGATGGTTGGCTTGGATTTCTGCAGGGAGGAAGCAGCTATTCCGATGGGTGAGGTGGAGATATGGATTTACCGTTGGTACTCCTTGGCCCAGTATATCCATCAGATCAGATAAACCAAGCCGTGACCCTCATTTGATCTGCTTATCTAGTCCCAGAGGTCGATCTGATTTGATTCGTGTTTTGTTAGGAGGACTGTCAAGGACTTTTATCTCACAAAGAAAGTCCGCCAAGGCTTTTATCTTTCCACCCAAAATTTCAAAATACAAGACTTCTCTGTCAAGATTCCTATTTGTCAAATTTGTCAAATTTCAAAGTCTTGATTCAGTTTGACGAAAGCACAGATTTGGTTGATTTGACTCAGATGGACACACTGCTCCCATAGAGACATGACCGAATTGAACAACCTCCAAACCAGTGTGAACGAAATCAGTACAAGAAGGCTATTATGCTACCGAGTTCATCCGTTCCTCGCGCCGTATCTCTCCTCTCATCCAAACCTTGATCTACTCCCTATTCTTGGGTGTGTGAGGTAGATCTCCAGTCGATGATTTGACCCTCATTTCCACATACAATAGTGAGTGTATTCACACATCCCAGAGCCATGTCAAATTATACATCAAAAGCGAACGGCAACGCAACGCCATCCAGGGATTCTCTGACACAAGCCCGTTCTCTTTCATCTCTGTGTCGAAAGTCCTTCGGCAGTGGTTCTCGACACCCAGACTGCTAGGGTTTCGACGCCGCTTCAGGCGCGTCACTCAGATCGGACCGTCATGCTTAGCGGCAACTAGTAGCTCAGGAGCTTCAGGACACGGTATAAAGACGAAAAGCAAATGATCCTGATCAAGTAGCCGAGCAACACAGAGGGAGGCACAAATAACATTTTGTAGCAGCAGCATCTCCAAGCAGCAGCGGCTCATGGCAAGGCGTTCAAACCCCCCGCTTCCGTACCTCACTGCAAGTCCGCGTCCGCCAAGCCAATCCCCCCTAAATCAAGACTTCAGTGGCCTACCAAAGCCCAGAAGACATGACCATACTCAAGCGACCAGAGTCTCATTACAACCACGAACTGAGCCTGGCTACAGATCGTCTGCCCTGAATAGGATATGCCTCACGCGAACGGGTTGAAGATGCACTCAGGCAGATCGAGTGGATTGTCCCATTTCGACTTTATGCTAGACATGAGTACTGAGAGAACTCGTGGGAAAGCAAAATCATGGCGCTGCTTGAGGAATTGATGCGTCATGTGAGAGATAGACAGTGTGAGTCCGGGTGGCTTTGAGCTCGTCCCATTTCGTCGTTAAAGGGAAGATAGAGCCGGGCTGGCTTTCGGGGACCGGGACTGCGGGTCTCAAGTTGAAGCCGAGTGCGCTGCCGTCCATCTTTGGCTCGTTCGCTCAGGTGGCTCGCGTAAAGACTCGTTTGAAGGATCGTCTAAAGGTCTTGCACCTTTAGACCTGAAGGGGCGCCTCCAGTGAGCCAGCCCTCGAGTTTTCTGGGTGATCGATTTCTACTTCTGTAAATTTCAAGCCCTTCTCGGTCGCATCCAGCCTCATATGCAGCTCGCCGGCATTGGCTTTCATATCCTTAATTTGGTACACGTCACCATAGCTATGGCGCTCTTGCGTCTCTGAATCCATCCCATGAAACAACAGCGGCAGTGGCGACGATTTCCAACCATGGTTTGCTTGGCTGCCTGTACGTGTCTCATAGACCATCGCGAAGAAGAAGAGAACTGTAAGACAGACTAGAACAGCCGGGAAGGTCAACCATGGCCAACGAACATTGACACATGTTTCTTGAATCAAGACCTGGCCAACAGCCTGAGCACTGAAAGTCGGGTCGCTGTGTTGGCGTATGTATACTGTCATCGAAAGAGACAGGTTCTTGAACATCGCATCAACTCTGCTCAGACTGATATTGCCATCGTTGTAGAAAGCCTGCAGCACGCTAGGGTTGTCAAATGTGGTTGTTCTGTTGATTACCAGCCCGGTGAGAAAAGGTATCATAAGACCTGTATTTTACGTGTCGCAAATGCATCAACACCATATATACACTCACTGGACACAATATTAGCCAGACTGTTGCCTAAAGCATCGTTTGTGGCCGCCATAGGGCCGCTTTGGGGTTTAACGGGTCCGTTGTAGTTGAACCATTGACTCTCCTGGTCAAGACGATAATCAGCGCCAATCAGAGACTCAATTGCCTGCTTCGACAGGCAGTCAAGTCTAACGACGTTTAGAAGGTCCCCATTAGGCGTTGGATACAACTTCCATTCGGAAGTTATCGATTCTACCAGATTTCCATCTTTTACGTCAGCTTTGTACGACTTGGCACAAGGATACAGATTGCATTCAGCAGCTCCATATCCCAGGCTTGAGCAAGACCATGAGTCCTTCCTGGCTGGATCAGAGCAATTCTTGTGCGACTTTTCCAAATCTGGGGTGTTGCCTAGTATCATTTGTGTTGCTCCAGTAGCAAGCTCTTGATCTTCTATAGTTGTTCGCATGGCAAACAATGTCGCGTTGAGACCTTCCCTACAGTCTACCCTCTTGCCACATCCCTCTCCAACAAATTCTTGAATATCAGTGTGTAGTCCAGATGGAAGCGATAAGGTGAGGGTTTGGATTGTTTCGGAATAGTTGTTGTGAACGCCGTATGAAAAGTTGTTTGTGGAGCTCGAAACTGTCAGCTGGTTGGTTATGTCAACACACTTGCTGCAGTAACCAACAGACTGATATTGCTTGGGGAAGGTACAATTTCCGGACACGCAGTTTACTGGAGTATTGACTGCGTCCGGATTGAAGAAGCCGGCATGAATCGCTGATTGCATACCCTGAGTCAAGGGGGCCACGAATGGATCAGGACGAGTATCTTTTGGTTCGTCAAACACATTTGTTCGTGCTCCAGCGCCTGTCTTTTTGCATCCGAAACCAAACAGCTTTGATATCGCACAATCTGTTGCGCGAATGGGTCAATTGTGATGGCGAAAATTGTCACGAAAGCGCCAAGTGAAGAAACAATGTGTCGGTCGCGAAGGCTCCATAGCAGCCGGAGGGAGCCAACTGGTCCACGACTGGCCATTTCGTAATCTTGGAGATGTCTCAGTGGATGTGCCTGTGTAAACCATGTCCATTTTAGTTGACTCAAGCCTTCCGTTGTTACCAGAAGCATTGCCGCTTTTAACAGTACTACATATACTGACACCAAGGAGTTGAGTGAGATACTATAGGGCCATTGGGGAAGTGGTCGGCCTTGATGTAAGTATATAGTTGCAACAATGGCAATAGTGGTAGTGATAACGAGTAGGCAGCATATGACCTCGAGCCACCAATCACGAAAAATTGCCGATACCGTGTGATTCTGGTGGCGGGAGCTGACTTGCCAGGGTTTCTCCTTCGAGCTGGCATGACCAGAGGTGCGTTGACCATATTGTATTGTGTTTGTCTGTGAACTCGACATCCTTGTCAAAACTTATCCGGCTGTCAACATTTGAACCGTTCGCTCATTAAGAATTTCCTTTCGTATTGGCGGCCAATATCATGTAAGGATACCCTCCGTTTCCTTCAAATATGGTATGGTAGAATTCGTAGGAAATCTGCTGGTGGCAGGACCGTCTTGATGGGTGAGGAGGACTTGGGACGCCTGATCTTCCATCGCACCTAGTACTTATTTAAAGATGTGAAGGGTTGAGTCAATGTTCCAGACATTTGGCAGGGAGTTGTAATCATCCTCTTCCGCGGCCCCCCAACCCTTGCTCTTCGGCTGAATGGTAAGGCGTAGGTGATCATCTCAAGAACTACTGCTGCTGTGTAACTTATATTGCGTGCTGAGAACACTTGACCCCAGCTCTCGACAGATACTTGTGCATCTCATTCATTGAGCCCTGCCGCGCAGAAACCCATCCGTTCAACTCGCTGGCATTTGGCGCTGCTTGGCGGACTGCGCAATTGTTTAGCATTTTCCGGACGACGCCTTTGAGAGAAAAAATCTGAAGCATGGTTTTGTAAGAGAGGATGATCAATTGCGCCTAGCCATGTAGTGGATCGTTCTGTTCAGGTACTTAGTCAAATTCCAGCTCACCCCTCCACTCCTATAGTTATGCTCGAACGAGTTAGTCTCCCAGCCATGTCTTGACAAACAGCCCCCAAATCCTTATTGTGGTACGATATCTGCAACATTTTCTCTTGCAGTCATAATCAATGTCCTGATGGCTGTTTCAGTCATATGACGTCAAGAATGCTCATGGCCAAAAAGGTGGAGACCGCCGCTGAAAACGACCATGCTGACGAGATCATCAAGGCTGCAAGAATGCAAATCAATGGTTACGCCACCGAGCATGGACACCCCATGTTTAGCATTGACACTATCCACGTCTTTGATATAGAGAAGTTCCTAGGCTTCGATCGGAACAACCTCAACCTCTAACATCGTTTGAAAACCATCGCGATTATTGAAAGACGCCTTGCACGACGAGAACGGTATAGTGAGAAAAAGGTACCATGAGCACCTGAGGCGTCAACACATCCTGCAGTGGAACACTAATATTCAAGTATCTTGTACTCCAGGGATATCAACCCCACTGGATCGATGGAGAGCAATCCCGAGCCTCAACATACGCAGCATACTAACTAGGGAGCATGCGAAGGAAGCAGCAATTCAGCCTTGTTATATCCTGGTCACGTTCCATCTTCAGCGACGTGATGCACAACGGAAACTTCGACTGCGGACTGTGTTACGATACTACTCCGTGAGGCTGACCAACGAGTATTAGTAGTGTTGTACGAGTCTACAATATGAGGCTGGGTTTTGTTTTCATGGGCGGCAGGACAAAGAGCCAACATGTCGGTGACGATCAAGTCCTTCATAGAGTATGGGTATAGGATGACACCATCATGGAATGAAACAACGGATATGCACGTTCATTGAGATCTTTTTCTTCATCGTCATCTTCACATCAAGCTTGCCATTTTAGGTATTGTCTAAAGTTTTGATGACTCAATAGCTAATTGCAGATAAATCAAATCTTCACTTGGTGACAGCATGCTGCATGTTCACCAGGGTGAACGACCCAGCCTCCATCCAGGTAGTGGACTACTGCGGCACCAGCAAGAACTCAGCTCCTTTGCTGTCAGAAACGCCTTCTAAGCCCTCTCAAGGCCAGTTGTGGCATTCGAAGGTCTGGGGCTCGAACGCGCTGAACCCCAAACGCTGGAACTTTTGCTGCTTGGTACTTGCGGAGTGTATCAATGGAGAATAATTCAGTATGGCCCACTACATTCAGGAGTAGCCCAATTCTAATGGCATGAGTATTGAACTCCTATTCTTTACGTGCTCCTCTCCGTCATGGCTTGTCATTCAGTCGTCTCCGTATCGCCTGAATCAGCTGATGGGAGAAATCAGGTTTCGACTTCAGCAGAGCCTTCATCTCCTTTTCTCCAATAAGCACATCACGGTTTCGGATGACCCTTTGAATGTAGTCGTGACAGATGTTTTCCAACCACTTATGCTAGCCCGACCCACCGACGAGAACCAAAATCGACCAGCTCTGTGGCAATCTCTGGTTGGCCCAAAGATATCTCGGGAGATTTCTTTTTTGTCAGCAGGTCGACCGTCTGATATCCAAACACGCGTCCTTGAGGGTTCAACGCAGTACTTGTCGGCGACAATAGATACTTCTAGAGCTCGATTCACATTACCAGCAGCACTAAATGCTGGTGGCACATATGTGCACAGGTATTCCAACAGGCATGCGATATCATCAGCCTTGTCATCCTCTAATACCATCTCACACAGGTTACTTTCCTGTCCATGCAGAGTCAGTTGTACGCTCTTGCTGTGCACTAAGTGCATTGGAAGTATAAACGAACTGAGAAGGGTCCGCTGAACGCCCCCTCGAAGTACTCGCTTCTTGGAAATAGAATTAATTTCCCATTAGCACTGCCACGAGCGGTCACCGCATTTGATCTTAGTTACTCGGCGCCAGCGGTCACAGCATTCGTCGGCTTTGTCGTTTTCGGCTCGAAAATTGCAGCAGCAGCAGCGCTTCCAGAAGCAACTTCTCCTTCAATTCTTGATTCATCCATAACGAAGATCTCTTTTAGATGAAAATCAAGACCTGACGGGAGACCGAGGTAGCAATGCGAACAGTCCACTTCTTCATTGTTAGAGGCAGACAGAGAATGACATAGTTTGTTTTACTCTGGATGATGACTACAGCTTTATTTCCAGGCCAATGCATCAAATACTTCAATCTCGGATCCAAAGAGGTTTCACAAAGCGGCAAGCAGACATGTTGAATATGAAGGAAGGTGATTGGAAACCTGTACAGCTTTTATGTTGTTTTTGGCAAAATCAAACAACGAGTGTGGTTATCAGCTTTCAAGGAAGGGACTGTGGCAAATAGAGTAAGACACATAACTATTTAATGTTCTGCTGTGTTTGTGGGCCTGCTACCCGATTTAAGACATTCAAGCACGACTTCTACACACGCATATCCATCCACCTTTCGTGGTCTTTAGGCATACCTCTGTCCTAGTCAGGGACCTCCGGACCACCATGATTGGAAATCGAGTCAGTTTGTTTCCTCTGCAAGACAGAGCGGTCGATCTGGTTAAGTGATATCAGGACGATGAAAGGCGATAATTGACCGCTTTGGGAAGATAGGTTGCGCAAAATTTTCACCAGCCAGCGCACACGAACGTGTCGCCTTTGGATACATACATCTGCCAACCCAGGAAACGGAGCACGGTCATTCAGACAGAACGTGAAAGAGCCGAGGCGCATCAAACTCAAGGCTTGAAGTGGTATTGCCGAGATTCGTACTTCGATACCAGTGATCCAGTAGGTATCCTGTTATCACAGAGCTAATTTTGGACTTAGACAAGGTTGAACAGCAAAGGCAAGCTTGCAAGTTGGGTAGCCTATGTCGCTCATGGAGGCGCAGGTTTTGGCTATCAATGCTGTGATCCGGTACCTAAAGTCCGGGAGTTCTCATCTTGCAGTTTTGGAAACGCTGACATCAATTGGAAATGTGTTATTTCCCGAAATGGCTACCAAGTAACTCAACGGTCTTGCTATAAATGCCAGTGTCGCAGACTGTTAGCACGTAGGTCTTATATTGTTTTGCAGCCATTAAATCATGTGTCTGTCATCCGAAATCGGAAAGGATGATGCTTTAGTACCGGATGTAGGAAAATATTGCTTCTTATGGATTCCCATGGCGCAAAAACGGGGACTGTCTAAAAGAGCGATAGCAGATCTTCATTCCCTTTCTTTACACTATTGCTTGTGGCGGTTTGTGTTTTGGTAGGAGGAGGTGATGATTGTCCCGAGAGATCCATTCCAGCGAAACCGTTCATTATATCACTATCTGACATGCCTCCGAAGCTCGGTGCACTGGAAGTTGCTGCATTATCATTATCGAAGATGCCCATGATGTCATCGAGACTGTTTGTTGCAGCCTGTGGTTGTGAAGGGCTTGGAACAGAAGGAGAAACGACACGTTGAGGCGTGCCTGCAAGGCCTTCAAGACCTGACAGGCCATTGGCAGGTTTCTCTTGGCTGGATGCTGGAGCAGCACCATCGAAATCAATATCGAGCAGATTCTCAGCATTTGCCTGGGCATTCTGCGGATCCCTGCCTTGCACGGCTGCAGCCGCAGCGTCGGCAGCCAGAGGGTTTTCTTGCGCATTTTGTATTTGTTCTTCAATAGCAGCTTTTTGGACAGCATCTGCGCCAAAGCGACCTTCGCCAACGAATTGCTCAGGCGGCTTATGATAAACTGAGGCGAGGGTAGAGAGCTCAGTGAGAAGGCGATCAAGGAGTGGTTGAGGTAGTGCTTTGATGGTGGTAGTAATTGGTGGTTTCTCTGAGAGCACAATGTTCTTGGGGGCATGCTGGTCGGTAGTGTTGGACAAGAGTCTCCAATAGACATAAGCTCTATCTCGGATGTCTGGGTTGTCATTTTCAGCAGTGGCTGCTGTGAGAACTTTCGTTACAAGTCCTTGAGCAGCTTGAGGTCGCTTCAGAAAAAGCTTGACGACCGCTGTCAGAATTTGCAGCTGAGTCTGCGAAAATTCTTCATTGAAGCCGTCGACGAATCCACCAAGGATGTCACCAGCATTGCTGATCTTCTCCGCGTACTCTCCGACAATCCATATCAACGAGCCCCTGGCGTTGGGCTCATCCAACTCATCAATACATTTGCAGAGTGTCGGAATAATGCCCTCGTAACCTGGATATTTTCTGAAAATGTCTTTGATGACGATGATGACTTCCTGCACAACATAATTGGCCTTTAGATTGATAAGATCAAGCATTGCATTTACGCAACGTTCACTGGCACTTTCAATCTTGATCGCCACCTGACCAATCGCTTTCACGGCCCTACGAACAAAATCCATGTCAACCTCCATCGCATATTCTTTCAACTCTGCCAGCAATTGGTCGACATTTTTGTCGTTTGCTATTCGAACCATAATCTCGAGCTTCTGGAACTTGACATATGGTGGGTCGTCGTACTTGCAGAAGAAAACTCGTAGTTCCTTGCTCAATATATCTGGCTGCTTTTGAAGAAGCAAGTCGATATTCCGTAAAGCAACGTATTGAACTTCGGGCGCGGAAGAAACAAGAGTCACGAGTGGTGGCGCCATCTTCTTGAGATACGATTTGACGGCCTCGGGACTGATGTATCGCATGTGCAGGAAGACTGTTTTGACAGCGGCGAGAACGACGCTTGAATTCACATGTTGGAATTGAGGCGATACCCGCTCGCATATATGCTCCGCCTCCTTAACGTCTGAAGCTTTGTACTCAGCAAGCGAAGTCAAGATTGTAACTCGTCCCCATTCTGTGCATTCATTGAGCGCCATGAGCATTTTCTTGAGCGTCGTAGGCGTGATCTGCAAAGCCTTGGTCTCGGGTGATGCCTTGCTGATCTCTGATAGTGCGGTGACAGCATTAGCTACCACCATTGGATTCGGATCTCCGAGAAGCTCCTGCAACGTCTCCAGAAATCCATTTTCCAGACACATCGGAGCGTTTAGATCGAACAGTTTGGCAACGCAGATGGCTGCTGTTTTTCGCACATATGGTGATTCGTCCCGAAGGGTCTTTCGTAATGGCTCTTCCATATAATCCACCATTTTATCGACCCTGATACAGCCCATTGTTCGTATTGATAGTGCTCTGATGAGGGGATTCGGGTCTTCAGAGTCTTGAACAAAGGTATTAACGGCAAGGATGCAAAGGTCTGGGTGAGATTTGGCGTAGTTCCTAGCTCATCGTAAGATACCTTGCAGGGTAAATGGTTGGCATCTTACATTAGATAGAGGTATACGAGCTTCTTCTGGTCTAGGTCTGCAGTAGCGATGTTTTTGAGAACATCCGGGAATAGTGCAGAGACATCCTTGCCCAGAGTCATTGCCATAATGGTCTTTTGTATTGACTCTTTCCTTCGTAACAGATTAGAGAGAGCTTGCGACGAAAGGATGATTGTACTACCTTTCGTAGGCATACTGAGATCTGCGCATCTTGTTAAAATATGAAAAAATTAGGAAGCGAGCACGTACACAAGTCCAGCTCGTAGCTCGAATGTCTCGCCCTTCTTCGGAGGTGCAAAGGCATTTCTCATCCTATTGACGGCCATATTGCTGGCGTAAGCTTCAGCAGCGACAAAAGTCGCGCCTCCGCTGTGATGAACTTTGGAATCGTCGACACCTCCAACGGTCAAAAATGGCGAGTGTTGGGGAAGCTCTTGGTAGATGAGAAAGATCTACCAAACACGATCTGGTTATATGCAGAGGCAAGGCGAAAAAGAAAAGATGACGCGAAAGGACAATAGTGGGAAATGCAGCCTCTACCACTGCAGGCACTTCAATTTTATTCGACCAGATATGCCAAGATCATTTACCAACACTAAACTTGAGCCTCAATTCTGGTGGCACTGCATCAGGCAGACCGTTTTCCTAATTGTCTTTTATAAAATCTAAATTCGCACGGATACTATCAACTGGCCCATCACAGATTTTGCAAACCACTCACCCCGCCTTTGGCCAAGATGGTTTCAAGGCATGCCCCTCTCACTCCGGAGCTTCTCCACAAGCTTACCGCACAGAAACACCGGAACTGTATCCCCTCTCCAAGGCACGGCGGTCCATAAGTGTATAGCCTGTTCATGAGATGACGCGAAAAGGGTTGTTCATTGTTTAGTCACTGCATACATTATCTACATTGCGATAAAAATTACATCTCACCAAGCTACCATTTATTGAGCAACTCAAAACAGCATGCTGTCAGCTTTGAGCGACAAGAGCTTGACATCTAAGCCTAATTGAGAGAGTTCCGCCTACTTAAATCAAGCTTTGGCGAAATTGATTCATTATTTACTATCGCAAGGTCATTTCAGCGGCAGGGTCGTTGATAACGGCCAGTCTCTTTCTGTGTCTGTAAGCCAACCGATCTGCCGTGTTTGAAGCGGTGTTAACAGAAGGACTCCCGGACGATCAATTCCCATCTGGCCTGCTGTTCCCCACAAACCCAAGGCCACATGAGGTCATTGCTGTTGGTACATGTGATCATTCTATTGGTCGCATATTCCGCATTTGATTTGTGCTTCTTTCATAGGATTCGAAGTCCTACCCCCCACGAGTCCACGACGCAGTTTGCTCTCCGCTCATTGCCACATTGATCATATTTTGAGACCTACTTACCACAATTTTTCCATTTAGGACATCACACTCCAACAAATACGCCACCATGCATGTTGACTCTGACGGCAGTGAAACACATCAGGAGAAACCCTTTGAGCACGTTCCTGGTGACAAGCAAGAGACGCTTGGCATCACAGGCCAGGACCTCACAGCGACAGGGCAGGCTGCGGCCCATCCTCAGCGGGCAGATGGCAAACTGGAACTAACCGAAGATGATGCTTACGAAAAGCTAGGCTATTCCTATCCAGAATGGAAAAAGTGGATGATTTTGGTAATCATCCTATGCATTCAAACATCAATGAACTCGAATGCCAGCATGTACGGCTTTGGCGTTGATGGGATTTCGGAAAGATACGGCGTTTCCACAACCAAGGCGCGATTAGGACAATTTCTTTTTCTGGTCACGTATGCGCTCGGATGCGAATTGTGGGCTCCTTGGTCTGAAGAGTTTGGACGATGGCCTACTCAACAACTCAGTTTGTTCCTAGTGAACATTTGGCAAATTCCCAGCGCTCTCGCACCCAACTTCGGTACGCTTCTGGTAGCTCGTGGACTAGGCGGTCTGTCCACTGCCGGTGGATCTGTCACTTTGGGTGTGATCGCCGACTTGTACCAGCCTGAAGACACCGGATTCCAGTACGCCGTAGCTTTTGTCATCCTATCCTCAGTCGGCGGTGCACCAGTCGGAGCGGTCATCGGTGGTTTTGTTGGCCAGTACAGAAGTTTTGAATGGATATTCTGGGTTCTTCTGATAATGGGAGGGATCGTTCAAGTTTTGCATTTCTTCCTAGTCCCGGAGACACGGACGACTGTGTTGCTGGACCGAGAGGCAAAGAAACGGAGGAAGAATGGTGAGAAGAATATTTATGGACCTGATGAGCTGAAGGAAAAGCGATTTTCTGGGAGGGAAGTGGCCAGGATTTGGTGGAGACCTTTCTTGATGTTTTTTACTGAGCCGATCGTCCTATTCCTGTCATTGTTGAGTGGCTTCAGTGACTCCCTGATCTTCACATTTCTGGAAGCATTTACACCAGTATTCGAACAATGGGGATTCGAGACGTATCAGATCGGGCTGTGCTTTCTTTCGTGAGTGTTGAGGTAGCAATCTCATTCAAAGGGTGCTTGCTTACTGTCTACCAGGTCTGTCGTTGGATACATACTCTCCTACCTTACTTACCTGCCTGTCATTTGGCATCACAATAAGACGAGAAAGGTAGATCCAGATCGGCTGTCCCCAGAATCGAGATTGTGGTGGTTGCTGTACCGTGAGTAATTCTCTTCTTACTGCAAGGTCCAGGACTGACAAGCAAAAGTTGCACCTCTCCTTTCTATCGGTCTGTTCGGTTTCTCCTGGACAAGTCTGGGTCCGCCGCAGGTGCACTGGATTGCTCCATTGATCTTTACCACCATTGTTGGCATGGCAAACTATGCGGTATACAAAAGCTCGATTGATTATATGATTGCCGCCTACGGTCCATATGCCGCGTCCGCCACTGGTGGAAATGATCTTGCAAGGGACTTCTTGGCCGGTATTGCCGCGCTGTATTCTCATCCATGTAAGTATAGCTCTGTACCATGTTCGGGAACTTTGACTGAACAATCGTCGAACAGTTTATGAGAACGTGGGTGGTGAGGACCGGCATTTGATCTATCCAAGTACGATTTTAGCCTGTTTGGCTGTGGCAGTAATCATTCCAATATATGTCTTCTACTGGAAAGGGCCTCAAATCCGACTGAAGAGCAGATTTGCGCAAGAATTGGAGAAAGGCAGACAAGCGAGGATGCAAAAGAGGAGGTCGACTATTGGTGCGCAAGGTGGTCTGGGCAGACATGTAGAAAAGGTATGAACACACTACGCGGTCTCTTATTTGTCATCCTCCGGCCTACTGTTAGACACCTTTGGCGGTGCTCTAATTTGGCATGCAACAAAATCTATTTGAAACGATCTTCGAATGAGACGCTTTTGCAGGAGAGGTGTACAACTTTATTGGTTGGTCTTGCTTCGCTTGGGCATGGATCCTACAGGAACCAGCACTAATTGATGACATTTGATTATTCCATCACAATCTAGTGTTAGGACAGAATAAATTCAAAGAGATTTCCGTTCCCCTACATTACCATACTTGGTGATCAGATCATATCAAAGCCAATTGAACACTTCAATGAACTCGGAAACTTTCAATTATGTCCTAAGCGATGTTTAGTGAACATGAAAACACGGTCCTAGACCTTCTCAAAATCAAAGGGAGATTCCGAGCCAAGGTAGTCTTCTCATTGGCGGCATCGTATGTTTCGGTAGATGTTGAAGCATCCAGGGGCAAATGGATTGAGTAGTGGCCGAGGTGTAAGGCTGGAATGACCTGTGCAGGAGGGAGTGAACTTGAGAAGGAGAATGGCTAGAGCTATAGACGAAGAGACCCGAATGAAGGAGTTTTTACACCTGGCCAAGGAGTACTACAGGGGGAGGCATCAAAAGACGTTTTCGAGTAAAGATATTAGTGCCGAACTAACATACTTCCAGGCCCCTTGTAGTAGGTGGTACATGTCGCGAGGGTTGACGCCATCTCGGATTTTAGCGCAGACGATGGCGGTGCCGGTAAGTAACTAGTAAAATGAGTTGGCGAAATCCACAATGTACAAATTTAACCTTGATATCGACAGCCCTGGCGCTTTGGCTAAGTCAGAAGATCCTCCATGTATCCCGCTATGACGGGACGTTTGTTGTTTGTTCAGACAGACCAAATCATGCTATAGATAGTTCTCCTTACTACCGTTTCAAGGATGTGAGTCCTCTTCCCTACTCATGCTCGAATCTCTCCGCGTCCCATCCAACTCCAGTCAAACATGAAGATTTGAAGTGAACAAGTGTCAGGCACCTGAGGTCTTCCAAATGCATTGTTTCTTTTCTTGCGGGTCCAAAGTTCCGATAATCAAGACTGAAATATGGATCTTTCACGAATTTGTGTTGTGGCTGAGGATAAGGTGAAGGTTGGCACAATTTCGACGAGCCAAGCGAACAGATTTGCGCAGCAAGAACAGGTCTTGCTACTGCGGGTTCTGTCGATCTTGTTGCTACGCCTCGCTGATGCCTGATCAAAGTAATAGCATCGCAGAAGGATCGTTGGGGGCCAGGCTCTGGAGTGGTGCAAGGTAACATTTGCATGGCTTCGTTACACACAACTTGCGGCTGCAAGGCTGCGTCAGCTTCAAACGTTCTGAGCTTCGTGACGAAGAGCCGTCGTACTGCATAAACAAACGATTGGTCTTAGCTCGAGATGAATCATATAACCCGCCTGCTTGTATAACCACAGAGCTGCCGCAGCAAAGCAGAGCACAGCGGCTCTAGGCTGAGTACGTGCGATTTGAAAGAACATTTGTCCTGCCCCTCGGGATGAGACTTTCCAAATGCTCTTTGTTTGTCGAAGGGTAGGGAGAAGCTTTCTTTAATATCTGGCATCGGGAACAGCTTTGACTCAAGTGGGTCTCTACATGAGCTTATATCAAGTCCCAACTTCGACCTTTCTGCTTCTGACTTTGAACTCTTTATCTCTCCTTGGCCATGACTGAAATTCTTCATTTTCGGTCCTCGTTGCGAGAAATGGCCCGAAAGGCTATGCCGGAACCCTCCGGGAAGCCGAACAATATCTCTGAGTCGGGAATGGTAGAAGCTCTTCCTTGGGCTTTCATACAGGAGATTCCGGGTCAAGAGCCACCTCCCGGACAAGTCTCAAACTTCACTGATCCACCGAATCTTGTGATCACCGTTGCTGTCGTTCTTTCTATCAGCTCCTTCTTTGTGAGTGTGGCGGAGGGTTTTCGTATCGACGCGAAGGTCTCTTCCGCTCGGTCCTTTACTTGGGATGACTGTGAGTATCCGCTTTCCGAATAGCAACGCTAGGGCTGTGGTTGATGTAAGTGCTAGATGCCAGTTTCTTAGCCACGGTAGATGCGCACAACTCTACTTCCTCGGTCAATCATGCAGCTGACCTTGAGCTTGGATAGATTGGTACCTTCGCCTACTCAGCACTCACAATTTATGGTGAGTGAGTTGACTCATACTGGTATCAAGAACTAAAGCCTTGTCTACAGGAGCGTTTTCTTATATCGGCATTCATCAATGGAATGTACCACTCGCTAGGATGCTCTACCCCTCTACACTTCGGGTAGGTTGTCCATTGAATCATTATTCAAATTTTTCTTCGGGGTGATTCTGATAAGCAAGTGCCTTTAGAGGAACCTCATTCTTGGTGGTGTCTATTCACCCACTATGTTGCTGGCAAAACTGTCGCTATTTCTACTCTATCTACGTCTGTTCAGATTAAGCCAGAGTACCAGAAAAGCGACATGGATTGGGATTGTTTCATGCACTATTTACTACCTCTTTGGGGGTATATTTACGTTGACTATGTGCAGTCCTTGGCCTGGAGAAACATACTACGGCTCAGCATCAGCAAAAAGATGCAGGTTGGTTGAAGGATATGCCTATTCAACGATAGGCTTCAATGCCCTTTCCGATATTTATCTGATTATCATCCCGCTCCCGGTAATTTTGGGGTTGCAATTTCCAACGAGGAAGAAAATCAGAATATGTTGCATCTTTATGCTAGGTATCTTGTAAGCCCTCCTCATTGAAGTTCTTGCTGGCTGAGTGGAAAGCTAATCATACTCTTGCACAGTGGTTGTATTTGCGGGTTTATCAGTACAAGCTTTTGGCTTGTTATGCTAAAATCTCCAGATAAAACTTACTGGACAGCCCCAGCGTTGCTGGCATCGATCGTTGAACTTGACGTAGGCATTATTGTCGGATGCATGCCTGTCATCCAAGTAATACTCGTTAGACGCTTTGCAAAAATGTCTCAATTCTCGCCCTGCCGATATCTGACCAAGCGTTTATTTCGCGCCAGATCCAAAGCTTCGACCGGAAGGGTCGTAGAACATGGCCCAGATCTCACAGAAAACGGGAATGGAAGACCCTATCTGGAGACAGAAATCCTGCATGGTGCTGATGGAGAAGGGAACTTCATGAGCAGTGTCAAAGCGCGAACAGACCCACAGAGCTCATGGCTCTCATGTCCATTCAGGGCCATGGGAACATGGACCCGAGGCCAGGGCAACAAAAATAACCCCACCGCCGCCGGCACCCTGCGTTCGGACCAGGGCAGCCTGGTGACGAATTATGTTCCATCAGCGGGTTCAAGTCACATTGATCAGGAAGAAGAACCCAACAGACATTATATGGTACATGTGCAGGAAATTGAGAACGTGGTCTGAGAGATTGCAACATATCATGTTGCGGCATTTTCCGCTCACGTGGCTAGCTGGCCAGTTTGGAAGGCTTTTGCGCACAGGGGCAACGGCGTTGTTCGATTTGTCTTGCATCTAATCTCGGCTGGTCCTGGATTACCCTGTCTAGATGTCTTGGACATAGCAATGAACGGCCCGAAAAGGCAGATAGATATGTATACTATTACTACTTTTGCGTTGCGGGCATACTGACGATGTCAGCACCTATTCCCTTCAGCAGTAGGAACAGCTACAAGATCTTCCAGTCTAAGCATATACAATCGTCGAGCACTATATGACTTATACAAGCATCTTTACCTCGATGCAGAATCATTCTGTCTGCTCAGGAAAGCCAGTCATAAACTTCCTTCTGGAAAGCTTACGTGATTTGCTAAGTACGGGAGAATCTGCTCGGGGCCCACCCCCGGTCAGTCAGTGGGGATGCATCAATTCAAGTGTGTTTCGAAACCCCACAAGCGCTGTCCTTTGGTGGAGTGATCGATGTGTCCCTATTCTCGGTCTGGGCCCGAGGCCTCGATGCCTTCTGTGGTAGTTTAGGTCTCGGCACTAGCAACAAACGATATCTACCATAATCCCTTGGTGTGGCGAGAGGCGTGAACGGAGCCAGAGCGCCCGTCTTTTTTGAATCAGTGACGGAAGAAAGAATCCTTTCTTGCTTGCTTGGCTTAGCTGGCTTTTGGGCGGCTTGTTGCCTGGCCCTATGCGGCTGTCCTAGGACTTGCAGTCAATAAATGTATTTTGAAAAACGTATATGAAGTAGATACTTACACATACATCAGTTTCATGTCCATCGAAAACTTCCGCGAAGCCTTCACCCGTGCCTAAAAGAGTTCGACTCACAATACGGACAGCAAGAACAAATCGTCAATATGAAAGTTTTCTCTTCATGTAGGCTTTGTTTTCTTGATTAGATATCAACAACATCGATGAGTCTACACTGGGGAACCTACCGTGTATTCCAAGCGAGTCTGCAGGACTCTGTGAGTCTGATTGCCTCGAGAAAGGACTATATGAGCGTGGACAAGAACTTACAAATCCTTCAAGCTGTCAACGAAAGTCATATGCCCTACGTAGGCATGATGCAACATACTATTTAGAAATTGAACATAACAGTAGACGAGCAGCAACAAGCAATTACAACTTTGAAGTTCCGATACCTTCTGGAGAATCTTCCTGGTTCGGCTTACACATATATTGACACCCTTAATAGCAGATGGAGAGCTTTCTGGAGAGATATCACAACGTACTACTACAGAGAGAGAGAGAGACAGGTGCCAAAACCGCAGTTGCAGAGAGTTTGGCGGCAGCCGAAAGCGAGGCGGCAACGGAAGGCGCGGCGTCACACGAAGGCGAGACGGCAGGAGGGGAAGGCGAGATGGCAGAAAGGAAGATGCCACGACAGCGGAAGGCACGGCGGCAACAGAAGGTGCAACGGCGATTGAGGATAATCATACCACCACCAAGCCAGGCCCTGATAAACTCTTCGGCGGGCCTTTCGAATCGAAAATTGAGGCCAAAGGTCAGGAACTATACAGTGATCTGAGCGAGATTATCAATCGATACAAGGGCAACACTTACAAATTCGATGATATGCTTTTCGGTCCAGTCACTGCAGATATTCTGCGGGCCCTGGCTCCGAACTTGAACAAGAGTGCAGAGTTGGATTGGGACAAAGAGCCTCTCCAGTACTCCCATTTTGTCAAAGCTAAGGAAGAACGGAGAAAACGAGAAAAGCAGAAGAAGAGAAAGAAAAATCAGGCAAGACCGAGCCAGGAGCAAAAAAGAATAAGAAACCTAACTGGAATCAGATCATCGAAGCTCGATTGCAGCGGCTGGAGCGATTGGAGGAGACGAGGGCCTCGGACGCAAGTCTCTTTTCCTGGGTGTGGCAGTGGTTTGGTAGAGCGACTGACCATCCAGAAGACAAAGCCGAACAGGATAACGGGTCTCTGCCCAAAATATCCTTGACGAATACGAAGAAAATGTTATGGGAGAGTTATTCGATCAGGCAGGGAATGGAGACAGCGTGTCTGAAACCACCGGATAATGACATCCAGTCTTAATGCTATGTACGTAAGAGCGATCATTGCGAATGCCGGATTTACGGAGCTTGAAGATACTCCAGCACACACAGCACTGTAGGCCGGCGCAGCGTAACCTTCAGCTGGGTGAGATCAGGACGAACCCTAGAGTGACAGAGAATTTCTAATGGATGAGAAGAGGAGGACAGGGGTGAGGATGATGAATCTCTCGCCGCACCCGGGTTGAGATACATGGAGAGTCTGCAGCACTCACCCACGAATCACCTACCAGGATCCACGGCTGGGTGTCGCCGGTCTGGGCCTAGGGTGAGGCCGGTCGAGCTTACCTTGGTCTCATCCAGGTCTCATCCAGACAAGGTTGAGAAGCAGGCGCAGCTTACCCTGTTCAGTGACCGCATGCAGCAGCCTTGGCAGTTTGCAGAATCAATCACGTACGGTCGATGCTCGTTGCTAGTTCTTTGAGCAGTAATCAACAACCTGCATCATGAAAACCCCATCGTGATGCAATTGGGTCCTGTGGCAAGACCACATGAGTCTCTATGTGGGTGCTGTTTCATCTACATGAGCAACAGTAGAGAGGGGGCAGGTGGGTATGGATATGGGGAGGTTAGACGTAGTACCAAACGATGATAGCCAAGGAACGTCGGATAGAGGTAAATATGTAAAATAGCAATTATTCCTATACGGAGCTGAGAACCTTGACACAAAGGAGATCTTAACCCTCGTCTAGCCAAGGAGTCTCATATTTCACATCTCATTCAATTCGTCCTAGAATGTTGTGGATGTTGTGGTGGAGGCGACGGCGACGGAGGATGCTGCGAATGTAGGGGCAGCGGCTCCGGAGGGAATGGCTGCGAATGGACTGACTGTGACAGGGGCGAGTAAAGTTCAGCGAGGTCTTCAATTGTTTGTACAAAGGCCATCGCGTCTATACACCCAGCTCAAAATCAGTATCTGTCTCAAAGCTCGCGATGCAGAACACATACCTCCTGCTGAAGTAAACTTAAACACATGTTCACCTCTGTTTGTAACTTGAGGTTCATAGTCTGAAGAAAAGATATGACGCCTCAGCTCTCGAAGATAAACCAGAGTTGGGCTCGCAAGCCGTAACCAGGTTGGAAAGACGAGGTATTGTGTAATAAAGGCGGTCCAGATCGGCACTCTGGAGCTATGGTCAACGAATCATATCTCCTCTTGCAAGCGATAAGAATTAGTATGCATGTACGTACCTCTTCATCTCCCCTTTGTGCACCGACGCCTGTAGACGTACGGCTCTCGAATAACGATCGCGGTAGACACGTAAGGCATGGAGGTAGTTGTCATCTATGATTTTGCTGTGAAAAGAACTGTCAGTCTGACTAGTAAGTCACCTTACTGGCACAAGTTCAATGCGTACCCCGCAAACAATTCAGCTTCACCAACCAATTCATAGTCTTGAATATTAGTCACTGGCATGCAGCTGTCGTGACCACGCAGCGAGAGGAGCGTGCAATAAAAGACTACCAGTCCTATACCAGTTCTTAGTCAATTCCGGTCAATTTAGTAATATTGGTTACATATTTGACTTACTTTCAATGGTGCTGAACACGAAATTTGCCCAAAGGTCTAGCTTCGAACTTCCTCGTTTTTTCGTGCAGATCTGCAATGATGACTCGGCTCGATGGAACTCAAGAACATTGAGGGGCAGGCAGGAATACTTGCTGCCTCCATTAGAGCTACTGGGCCATTTGCATAAGATGCGGGCGCGGTGATCGCCTTCACGGTAGTAGAGTCGGGCGACGAGTTCGCTCCCACTACCAAAAGCAATTTCCAAGATTTCTTTGAACTCTTCTTTGAGACGTGTACGTGCTTCCGGGGTGTGCTCGCCGTAGCATCTCGAGCTAAAATAGTGAGCGGATTACCAAAATCTGCTTTGCTTGGTGCACGTACATGGCACCTGTCTTAGTCAGGAGGGTAGTTGATGTGTCCAAGAAGACTTTCGTCACCCAGTGCTCGCTCTTGGTGTCTGTTGATGAACTTTGGCGGGCACTTTCCACATGGACGCTGCTTGCGTCATTTAATTTGGAAGAAGAAGGATGTGTGCAGTCACTCTCGTCAGCGACAGGGCTATCAGAGATCCTTTCCAGCTGGATGCTGCTTGCGTTATCAGATTTGGGAAAAGAATGCGTGGGGTCATCCTCGTCAACGGCAGAACCATCACTATCATCCTCATCGTTTCTTGGCAGGCTTGTAAGGGCAATTTCTTCCATGTGGCAGGCAACGTGAGTGGCGAATTGCCGTCGCGAAAGCCACCCCTGCTGTAAGCAAAGAGGACATTGTTGAGCAGCCTATGAAGGGGAAACTGAGTACCTAGCAGCTGACAGCACAGTAGCCTGCTGCTGATTATTCAAAGGCATGTGGTGATCAACCTCAAGATGTCGAATGAATAAGTCTCTACTGCCAACTTCTTGTCCGCAGTCGTTACACTTGTAAGACTCTTTGACCCTGTGTTGTTGTAATTCATGCTCAAACCACAACGCTCTCGTAGGAAAGGTAACGAGCATATCGCGACAGCCAGCGAAGGTGCAGATATATGGTTGCAGGTCGAGGAAAACGTGCATTCTGAAAACGTTAGCCTTGACAGAGTGCATCTCATATTCCTACTAACTTCCAATCAATGCGGTTTTTAATCACTGTCAGTTTCTTACCGCAGATGAAGCAGATAAATGGCTTGCCGGAAAAGACCTCGGGAGGCATAGAAGGTACCCTAGGCCTCCCTTGGTGATTTTCGGTCAGAGTTGATCGAAAAGAACTATGAGAAGCCAACGAGGCTGCCGCTTGGGAGCGCGCAGGCTTTGAGCTTCCAAGTCCAGAATCGTGAAATTCTGATAAGGACCTGAAAATCGACTTTGGTTCGGCGTATTCTTGACGCTGTGCGCAGTTGGAAAGGAGTTTTGCATCTTCTTCATTGACTTTTTCTTCTCGTCTGCCTCCATCCTGATGCTCTGCTTCATCTTGCAACAAAGACTGTTGTCGACCATGCTTCCTGATGCGAAGGAATCTTTGCCAGTTGGCTTCCCCAAGACGTTCGACAAGGCTGGTCTGGGCGTTTCTGAATTTATCATGAATTTGCAATACCAAATACCAAGCAGCATCGGTGACATGGAAGGTGATTGCCCAAGCTTGATCTTCCTGCCTCCTGCCAGATAGATCCACCTCTATGGTCTCCTCAAGCAGGGGATTAAGGTCTGCTAAACAGATCATGTAATTATGCAAATCCTTGTGAAATTTCAATTCTGTACGAGCTATGGAGCTGTCAATTTCCAATGATCCAGAATCTGTGTCGGAAGTTTCAATTTCTTCGTCGGGAATGTCAAGTATGGATTTTGCTTTGTCTAGGTGCTCAGAAACAGTTCGCAGCGGGGCTGTGATGTCTTCATTTGGGAGTGCTGATCTGACTGCTTCGATCGTGTACACACCTAGCAAAGGGCGAACGGTTAGCTAAGAACTGTAGATAAGGCCTCAGAATGTACCTTTAACCAGGGCTGTTCCAATCTTTAACAAGATTTCGAGTACACAATCATGAACCTCCGCAGATCTTTCCACACAGACATCGAGTTGTCCATGGTCGAGAGAGTCGCTCCACAGGACCAGGCGGCTGAGGTTGTCGCGGATCCTCCTTTGCTGAAGCACTGTTCGTGTCCGGTCCAGGCGGCAACATGTCCAAATATTTGCAAGTAACTGCTGGCAGGCCTCCAAGAAATTCGATGCGAATCCAAGATTAGGGCTCTCTGAATGGTCTGGGTTAGTTTTGGGTTGTCTATGCTCACCTCGAGCAATCCAGGTAAGCAAGTAATCCGATGAGACGGAACTGTCGCCCCGCAGTGTCGGCTCCATCAGATTTTGCAAGAAATATCAAATTTCATTAATCCTGGACAAGAATTCCTAAATACACATTCTGGCTCGTTGAATGCATATAGCAATTCGAGGCGGACTGTTCTTGTTGAATAGCACCATGCCAGCTGCCAACAGTTGACAATGATGCAACCCAGTATCAGGCTGTCAGGCAAACACCTGGACCCAGCCTTGCGGTGAAAGTCCCGAACTCGGACATTGCATATAAAAGCTCAGAATGAAGGCTGGCTCCTGTTTACCTATTGTTTTTTGGAGCTCATACAATGTCATCCAAGTCAGTCTTTTTATGAGCATCGAGCAGCTCTAGCTCATGTCTACGATCTTGTCTCTGCCTACGAGCACAACGATATTCGTTCCACATGGCGGAAGTAGGCATCGCCCTTGGAGTCCTACCTTTGATCATTGCAGGGGCACAGCATTATTCCAAAGCAGAAACAGTGTTTTGTCAATACCGCCACTTCACATCCGAACTCTCCTACCTGGCTACCCGTCTTAAAGTTCAGCGAGCCATATTCAAGAATGCTAGCAAGAAATTGATATCGCTATGTGTGGGCCAGGAAGAGGCCAGAATCATGCTGGAAGATCTAGAGCATCCGGGTTGGACTGACCCTGCTATCGACAGGGCCTTTTCTATGCAGCTCCAGGACAGCTGCGACGCTTTCGCTGACTCTCTTCAAACTATAAGTAGTCGACTCACCGACCTAGAAAAGGAATGTCAGAAATTTGAAGGCGTGTTGCATGGTTCTCAGAGTGTACCCTAAGACCCCAGCCATTGGATAAGCCCTCTTGCTAATGATTGATCTAGGACGGACCAGGTGATGCTAGGAGTCGCGCTCGGCTGATAGCTAAGAAGATTAAGTTCGTTTTCCGTGACTCACGAACCCAGTTACTGTTCAATAGTGTGAGAGATCTCACAGAAGACTTTTGTGCTTTGATCACCCAGATCGACCCGTCTTATACTTATGAAAAGCCGCCACTCCTACCAGCTGGGGGAGATGGAAGAGAAGTAGCAAAATTTGGGTCGATCAAAAACGCGGCGGAGAATTTGTACGAGGCATTGGGAGCCGCATGTACCAAGCATACAGAGCATCAAGTACACTTCAGTCTGCAGCCGAGCTATATAAGTTCGTCTCCCGATGTTCGATTTCACATTGGTTTTCGACAACTACTTGCCAGATGTGTTGGTAACGATGCAGGTCCCACATGGCTTACTATCGAGTCAAGAGTCTCAGACCCGATAATGAGTGTCCCTAAGAACAAGGAAGGACCTACCAACCTAGAAAAATCGCTAAAGAGGAACAAAATGTCGCCCTCGCCTCCACCCGGCAGACCACCAAAGAAGCGGCAAAAAAACGTTCGATTTCGCTCTCAAACCCCTCCTCCAATATGCCAAACATTACAGCCTGACACTACCCTGCCAAATCTCTGTTCACATGGAAATCTGTGCAATCAGCTTTCCCAGCTTCTCAGTCAATCACTATTAGACCAAAATCGATGCATTGGGTTGCTTGGAGACCTCTCGAATCGCACACACCTCATTTATCTTGACTCGCGTACCCAGTCTTTGCCAAAAGGGACTTGCACTTCACCTTCTAGCTCTTTGAAGGACGTCTTGAATATGGTTGGGCGGGCCAGAAAGCCATTCAATAGTATCCCTCAGCTGGAAAGAATCCGACTGGCCAAGCAACTCGCAATAGCGCTACTCTCATTTCATTCAACTTCCTGGTTAGATAGCACCTGGTGTAGCGAAAACGTTTTCTTATATAACACCAGCAACGAAAATCCTCAGTTTTCTTTCAAACTTGATGACCCATACGTCAATGTTGCCATTAAAGGTCCGTGCTCACCAACTCCTCCAACACCGGGCTCAACGTCTAGAAGCTTCGCCCCGAATCCTTTCCTTTTCGGCCTTGGTGTTATGCTTCTGGAGATCGCGTTTGAGACACCATTGCGAAGTCTACAACGGTCTGTTGACATCGAAGCGAGCCAAGACGATAGGCATACAGAGTTCTTCACGGCAAAGAGGGTTAGCAAAATGGCTTCCAGGCCTCTAGGCATTCGATATAACAGGATCGTCCGAAGTTGTCTGAACTGCGATTTTCGTGGTGGAGATGATTTGAATGAGAGTGCTTTACAGGAGGCTATATACCGCGACGTTATTTTCGAACTTGACCGACTAGAAGAAAAGCTTCGTCGATTCAATCTTGAAGATTGATCATTATTGCAATTGACTGCAAACTTTTCGTTCGACGACACTATCTATTCGAAAAAGAGTCTCTTTTTGTCACTCTGGAGAGTATCATGGTAAAATGAGTTATTATGCCGGTCCGAACGCATTCCTCAAACTGTGGCTAGCGCATGGGATAGTATAGCAATATCCCCTGTGTTACTGAATGGGTGCCCCTGCCTTTTCAAGAATAGTGTTGCCGTGATTTAGCGTCAGAACTTTGCTGCAATCTTGGCAGGTAGAACGTCAAAAGAATTTTGAGCGATACTTTTGTACTTGACTTTCTAGATGAAATATGCAGATAATTTAGAAATTCAAGATTTACAAATGATCAGGATCGCAAAAGCTATCGAATGATGTTATTTTCATTATCCCTTGTGACCCCGAATAACCCCTGTCGTGGTCCTCCTGCCGATGAGGGTTTAGCGTTAAGAGGTACCCGCGTTTAGCGGTGAGGTTATTTCTGCAGCCTTGGCATTAGGAACATCAAAATTATGGGAGTATGCTGCAGCCTTGGCGTTAAGAACATCAAAATTCGTTGAGACCTGGCTGCAGCCTTGGCGTTAAGAACATCAAAATTCGTTGAGACCTGGCTGCAGCCTTGGCGTTAAGAACATCAAAATTCGTTGAGACCTGGCTGCAGCCTTGGCGTTAAGAACATCAAAATTCGTTGAGACCTGGCTGCAGCCTTGGCGTTAAGAACATCAAAATTCGTTGAGACCTGGCTGCAGCCTTGGCGTTAAGAACATCAAAATTCGTTGAGACCTGGCTGCAGCCTTGGCGTTTTTTGATGTTCTTAACGCCAAGGCTGCAGCATACTCCCATAATTTTGATGTTCCTAATGCCTATAAGTCTATAAATAGTATCATTTAATAGCTCCTAAAAGGCTCTATCTGACTATGAAGTTTATATTTTAATAACTATAATAAGAATAACTATATTATTACTAAAGATGAAACTTTATGAATAAATCTTAATATAGAATATATATTAAGCTTTTAAAAATAGTTTATTTAAGATTAATAAGCTTAGTAATTAGAAAGTTATAAATAAAATAACCTTTGTAACTTCTTTTATTTTTTATTTTTATCTTTTTTAATAAGCTAATTAATAATATTATAAGATTAATAATAATATTATTTAATAACCCTTTTAATTCTGTATAAGAATAAATAGAATTTAAGTTAATAATACAAATATTTCTCCTAATAATATGCACTTTCTGAGTCCTTTAATATAATGTTAACAAATCTAGACTAAAAGTCCTTGCCCCTCTTCTCCAGGACCCGGGAATTAATGCGTATAATGTGATAACAGTCTAGGAACTATAGCGTAACCCTGTTAATAGCGCTATCTACAATCCGGCTAATAGCGGGTTTTACCTAGTTAATCTAAGAGCTAAGGAATCGAGAGTATGCTGTTATGTAAACAAGAGGATCTTGATAGATTCCTGGACAGAACTCTTTTACTTAGACGATCTAGTTATAGTTACCCTGCAAATCGCAGGCGACTTGTGTATAATTAATATTTATAACTATTATAACCCTCTTCTTACCCACTACAGCGACACTAAGAACCGTAGCACGCTTAATACATATTACTACATGTGAACACGCCAAGCACTGACAGGCACTACGGAGCTGCCTGGCACTCTGCGAAGGAACTATGACAGACTTAGACAGGACTGGACCCTGAACTACACACATGGTCAGACCTGGACAACGTAATGATCAGAGGTGATTAGGGTGAGCACTCATGAGCAATGATCAGAGGTGATCAGGGTGAGCACTCATGAGCAATGATCAGAGGTGATCAGGATGATCAACTCTGAGCACGAATCTTCTAGTCTATATAAGCACGCTTACTTCCCAGATAGTTTTATAGTCTTTGTAGTTAACTTATGTTATTAGCTTATACCTAAGTTAAAGACATCTTAATATTATTTATTATATTTCTTATTCTACCTAACTAACCCTTTAGATCTAGCTTTTAGTTAAGACTTATCTTAATTAGTTAAGCCTTAATACTTTAATTATTACTCTTAAGAATATTAAGTATAGTTAAACAAATATTATATATATTACTTAAAGATATATACTATATTAATTACCTCAGGATTAATAAGCACCACTACTATTAAAGGCTAAGGAAGAAATATACAGTTTAAAGTTATACTACTAGACCTATTTTATAAAGATAAAAAGAGACTTTGAAAATTCTTAAACTAATTATATTTTATATATAAGTAATAAATACTAATAAAAAGAAGATCTTATATATAGTTATCTTTTTTTAAAGAACTATATATAACTAGTTTAAACCTTATCTTAAAAATAAACTTAAAGAGATAATAAAAGATTAAGCACCAGATATATAATAAATCTTTTATAGTTTTACTAACTTTATAATTAAGATTAAACAAGTATATAAGGATATAGATATAGTTAAGGAAGCTAAAAGAGACCTATTATAAATAAGGCAAAAGGGATCCGCTACAGACTATGCTTCTAGATTCTACTAGATTGCCTTATAAGTAAACTAAAAGGACTCCGCCTTATTAGTTATCTTTTACAA